TGTAAAACTATTCACAGGTTAAGGGTTAGGGTTAGAGAAAATGTGCAGATTTAATGATTGAGACCCAAAATGTATAGCGTAGTTTCCCACAGCTACTAATTAGTTTGAGTGAAACAGAGCATGAAAAACAAACAAACATAATTTGACAGCCGTATGAGTTACTGAAGCTGATATAGTAATCATTGTGGCAGAGTTGCACGTGTTTTGAAGTCCAAGATGGACCCGTTGGAAATGGGTTTATCTGTGAAACAGCTTCTGTGAGTTCCAGAATGAAACAAACGCTGCTCACACACTCCCTTTTCCTCCAATTACTTCAAATGCCAGCGTGATATGTGTTCTGCTGAACTCAGTGCTGCAAATGTCACTTTGTGGAAGGAGCAGGTAACCAGTGTTTGACACCAATTGCTGCCTTCAGTTTGTTCCGGTAATGACTATACCGCCGCCTCACTCCCAGGACTTCACGCAGGATTTGCTTCTTTGTGTTGTTTGGTGTTTTCTGTCTAACTCGTGTTTAAGCCGTGTTGTTTACAAATGCACCAATCAGGCGTGACTTTCTGACCTCTGTGTTTGGTGCAGTGCAATGCATTAACATAAGCTTGTGTTCTATTTCAGATAAATGTTGAATTAGACAGATTTAGATGACAACTTTCTGCTTATTTAACAGCTCAGATACAGGTCACTCATTCAGAGCAGTTTATAGCCACGTAATGCAAACTCAAACATTTAGGCCAAGGATACGAATATTCCATCTTCAGATCAGAACAGTAATGCTCTTATAACTCAGGGGTTCCCAAAGTTATCAGGCCAGGACCCCCACTGATGTACAGTATGTGAAGAACCGTAAGCGTCAAACCATGCTGAAATCACTTTAATGTTTGTTTTAATGTGAAAAAGATAAGATTAGATAAGAATCCTTTATTTGTCCCACAGTGGGGAAATTTCAGTGTCATCGTTTCGCACATTACAGCAGAATGAACAAATAGCACTCAGATTGCACACAACAAATAGGATCGATTATTTAATAGAAAATACAATGAAAATAATAAAATAATAGTTAAATAGATAATAAACTAGAATAATATAAACTCTGGAGCTTTGATTGCACTTGGTTCAGAAGTATTTACAGATGTGTATGTTGTACAGAATAAACATCAGGAATAGTAGCAGCAGGTAAAGTGACTAGTGAACGACAGAGATATCAGATGAATGGATATGTAATAATGCAGTTATGATAAAAACAACAGGCCTAGTGAGTGGTAAGTGACTAGTGGATTATCATCAGAGCAGGTGAGTGGCAAATGTATAGACTGTGCAAATTTGATCCAATATCACTTCAAAAAGATGGTCCAAATATAACGTAGAAATTGGAAATATTGTTCTGGATTCTCGCAAACCCCCAATTTGGAAACCAATGTTTTATCTGACCGTCATTCAGAAGGGCTCAATGTTTTGTTGAGTAAATAATTAATTCTATAAAATCAACAATTGTGAACAAAAACATGCAGGGTTTATCTTATAAAAAAATATATCTTTGGCGCACTTGTCAGAAAGAGCCCTGTGACTGTGACTCCAGTTCAAGAGTTTGACACTTTGGCCTCTATTTTTCACTTTTCTGGAAAAAAACAATCTAAAAATGTGACAAAGCCTAAATAGATTTCTGTGAAAAAGAACCAACCGGATCGGAGAGCAATGGGACAAGTTTGATGACATTTGTGATTATTATAAAGTTCTTTTGCTCTTATTGTTCTAACTTCAAATATTAGATACTACAGTTTTTATTAAATCACAGCCTTGCTAAAGTTTTACCCGTCAGTGCTCATTCCATTAGCATTATATGTGTTATGGCTGATTTGAACTGAATCTAACACGACACAAGATGTTGTTTTGGATTTGCCCTTGTTGCTCTCCTTCATTAGCAGCAGAGCACTAACAGGTCAAAAGCCTTCCACCTGAAGCCAAGAATCCCTGCTCCATAAAAAGCATCTCTAATCACCAGCACCATGCAGCACACCAGCCTGCACAGGTCTGAGTGACACCAGGCTTCACATCTGGCCCAGTGTCAGGCTATAAATGCTCCCCGCTCAAAATAAACCTCAGTGATACCGGAGGTGTAAATTTGGCATCTCTGCTCCAAATATTCTCGTTAGAAAAGACATGTAAATAAAAAGTATTTTTGCAGACACAGGGGCGTGGCCTAAATAACACAAAAATTAGACTTATCGAACATTCTATTTTTATTTGTTGCCTGGTATTCTGGAAACTACTTCAAGACAAAAAAACCTTATACGATCACCATGGAGATGCCTCAGTCCTGCACTGCACGGCCTCGCTCCTCGTTCTACAGCCTGAGTCCTGGATCTACATCCTGTCTGTCCATAGGGGGTGGATCCCTCCCTCAATGTGGGTTTCTTACTTTCTCCCAGTGGGTTTCTTTCTAGAGTTGTTCCTTGCCGATGGAGGAGGGTCTAAGGACTGTGGTGATGATCCAGGACACTCGACATTCATTTGTCATGTGCCCCTTATGGATCAGCTCCTCACTAACACCGAGTCTGACTTCTCAAAATCAAAATTTGGGAGATTATGCTTAGATAACTCTCTGAAATGACATGGAAGCAACATGAGACAGGAGTTTTTAGATAGAAGAGGCGGAGTTAGATATCAGCATGGATGGATCTAAATACAACTCCAGGACTGTTTTCAATGAGGGAAATATTTGTTAGTATGACTAAAAAGTTGATTTTGCATAATATGTCTTCTTTAAAACGTTTATAACTTTCTTTCTTCCAGGTTGTCAAGGGACTATGGGAGAAACATAGGTAATCATGGCATACGTAAATGTTCATTAATAGGCACTGTCCCTGGAATAGAAAGATAAATAGGTTATCTTTAATGAAAATACTCCGGGTAACGGTTGTGAAACATTTACTTCCTACATTAACATTAAACTTCCTACATTGTTACTACATTAAAATGTACAATGACACATCTCTCCCACACCTCTGCATCCACAGGGTCACAGAGCCGCACAATTTCAACCACAATTCAAAACAAACAAATTAGAAGCAAATGTTAGAGCATTTCAGACTTTAGAGGTCACCATAAACAAACTGTTTGGTAACACTATGATGAGGACTGAATAACAAGTTCAAAATCCATTACTGATATATGTTGTAGATAGATACATCGATAGATAAGGTTGATTTATCTGATCCCCCAGCGGTGATTCAGGTGCAGCCAGCAGAATAACAAACACATTTGAAATTAAATTAATCATAGAAATAAAATAACTGTTCTGAATATGATGTAAACAGAAAAATGTATGTATAGTATCATTATTATGTGTGAATTCAATTAGACATCTAAGGATTCACTGAGATGTCACATACTGTGAGATAAAGATATTGATATTGGGAATTGTACAATTATAAAATGTTGTGATAATTGTAAAAGTCTGTTTTTCTCGGCTGCGGCGTCCTGCTGTGTGACCTTCAGGGTGTGATGTGATGCACAGCGTGCAGTTAACATGAAGACAAGGCCTGAGTCATAAGAAGCTGGCTGCATATATTACTGTCAACCTGTGTTGGGGTAGATCCCAGGTCAAGTATGTGTGTTTGTTGATCTTTGGGGGGAAAGTGTTGTTGTTGACATCAGAACAAACTGGAAGTGAGAAGAACATACGGGGTCAGGGTCACTGTGGGCAAATGAGGAGATAGTCAAATATGAGGCTGACGTGTAACTTCTGCTCAGACAAAGCGTGGGTAGTGGAAGCAGGATCACCACAGAGAACCCTGGGACATTATGTTGCCATCTTGCAGTGGAAATTTTAGCAGTTGCTAAAAGTAAATGAATAAATGTCTGTTTTTGGACCATTACATTACGTTATCTTGCATGCATCGCCTCTTTCAACTGATATGAAGATGAATGACATCATTAAAAATAGGAACACTTCCTGTTCGATGGTGCTTTAACCCTTATCGTATGTATCCATATATATTTATCTATGCATTTATTTGATATAAAAACATGAGTCTAGGGAAGCACCATTTAAGGAGCCGTCTGCACCTAGAGCAGCGAGCTGCCTGCAGCCACAAGGGATGACACAGGACCCAGAGAAGAGATGAGGCCATAGCTCCAAACCACCACCAGGTCTAGCCTGACCCCCACAGCTGACCACCACTCCCTGTTCAGGAAGATAAATCCATGGAAATATTGTTCCATTGGCAAAAGAAGAAAAAAATCAAAAAACAGAATGTTCTGTTGTGGGTTTTAAGTGTATTGTTCAATAGAACCATGCAAGTCACACACATCATGTCACTTGTGCTGACTTATTGATAGCGGCACGGTGGCTGATTGGATAGCACTCTCGCCTCTCAGCAAGAAGGTCCTGGGTTCGAATTCTGGTCGGACAAGGGCCTTTCTGAGTGGAGTTTCCCCTAACACTAAAAATATGTACAATAGTTCTGACATGCGCCTCTTGTACTGGCGACTGCTCCTATCTTTGTGTGGAGTGAGAGGACAAATGCCCACAAATTAACAATTGTAAACCGCTTTGTGATTCTGGTCAGTGAAAGGTGGTATATAAATAAAGATTTCTTACTTACTGTTTAATGAGTATCAAAACTAAGCTGGAACTTATCTTATCTTAACTTAACTCGATAGACGGACAACTGTTTAAACCCCAATGATTCAAACTCGGCTACAGTTTAGAAAATGTGACTAATGTCTATAAACGATGTGTTTTGCTTGACATCTCTCCTACTAATACGTCACGTCTCCTCCAAGTGTCAGAGAACAAACTCCTGACTCTTTGGTTTCACACTCCCCTCTGACAGCGACGATTACCACTGTCCCTGAAGGCAGCAGCGGCGCATCCACCGACATCAGGCGGCAACGCACCTCGCATTTCTGACTCCACTAAACTCAACAAAAAGTCCAATTCCATCCTTTTTGATAAGTGTGAATCGGGCAACTTCCAGAGGGATTGGCGACTCTCTGTCAGTATGCGTCCCCGGGCAGAGTGGCTCTTTCTGGCGCTGTCCAGTGTGCTCCTCAGGGGCCCCTGCGGTGCGTCCATCACATATCGTTGTCCCACCATCTGCAGCTGCAGCGCGCACACCTTCCAGTGCAACCGGGACACGCAGCTGTCCTCCCGGGCCACCTCAGACCCCCGGATACTCCTGTAAGTACCGTACTCTCGTACTCTCTCTCATTACATTTCTGCTAATCCTGGAGCAGCGCACTGTTGAACAAACCTGCGCCTATAGGATCTAATTTGAGTCATTAACTAATGTGGAACCATTGCTCTGTACCCATTTCAGACAATTTGTCCTGAATTTGTCATTTTTGTCATGAAAGTTACTCATTCTGTCCAGGACAGTCATCGGCCTGACCCTGAAGCTGGTCCCCACACACGCATTCAGAGACCTGCTCAACATCAGCAGTATGTAAGTGCCTTTCTTCCACCGTCTACTCTACAAGATCCAGATTTTAGGAGGTTTTGTTTGCCTCTTGAAGCAAAGTAGCTATATTAATCCATTATACTGTACACAGGTTCTTTGTGTCTAAAAATATAAGAGGCATTTGCCATACATGACATTAAGACATACCATCAAGTAGAATACAAACCGTGGTGGAGCTTTACATTAAGCTTTGCTTTGAGCAAAGGACATATCAAATATTTGTGAGTGGGTTAAAACAAATCAACTACAGATGATACAATTCCTGAATTTTAGCTCAAATAACAAAAAAAACAAGTCAATATTGAAGTATTTATTGTTCGTGTCAAAAATAACTAACCTTATGAATAGATCCCTTCAACAATTTCAAACTATAATTATTTAATAGTTTTCGGTCAATACTTCAACAACTGAACACAGTTTGCCACAAACTGATGGTAACTTGTTCATGTATCTGTCTGGTGTTCACGGTTATGATTTCTTTAAAAACACTTACAGAAGGGTGACCTCTGCACTAAAGACCACACTGGGTCCCTTTGAGAGACAATTTAAACACAAATATTTCAAAACATAATTTCAAAACAATGAGATCACTTGTTATTTTTCTTGCTAATGCTTATACATTGTAGTGGTGTTCTTGCGTGGGTGATTTATGGTCTTCTCACTCCATCAAAATCACTTAGCAATTTTTTTTCATTATATGTGCAAAAACAAAATCCATCAAATGAACACAGCAGTTTACTTGTCCAAACATGTGTCTGTATCTCTATATCATTTCCAAACCTTCCACTTACTTGTTGCAGTAAGTGTGTCCCCTGTTTCTGTTAAACCGATTTCTCATGGATGCTTTGAACTTTCTTTCCTGGTGCTTACAAACTAAGTGTAAAGCAAGACCTTTCTAAGTCTGGTTTGAAAGGACAAAATGGAAACAATATTAAATCAATAGCATTGGACTCTACCTCCAGAATGTGCTCAAAAAGTGCGACAGAAATCACAGAGGTTCACAGTTCAGTGTTATGCACCAGTCATTTAGTACCACGTTCTGGCTCACTTTCATTTAATTATTATTGAAATTTGTGGGTAATGGATTCACTAAATCTCTGTTTTAGGACATGTTACAATCAAACCATTTTAATTCCTCTCCTTGAAGCTGTAAAAGAGCTGTGTTCTCCCATATTGAGTAAATCTTAGTTTTACAAGGCCAGGTCTTATCAGCTCTAGATACTTAGAGTACTTACATGTCCATTTGGTTCAAATCCGTCACTAACTCATCCATAAAATAGATGTTTTAGTTTCACACACTTAATCTTGTATAATCACTCCCTGTAACTCAAAAAGCAGTTTGGTACGAGTCCACCTTTTGCTGTTGTCGTCGCTGTGAATCCCCTTTCTTCTTCTTAAGAGTGTTTCGGGAGCATTTAGTGGTAATCACGATGCGTTTGGCAATCAAGAAAGATAAGTGCGCGCCGCAGATGGGGATTTTTAATTGTTTGTGTGTTGGTTGATGGCACGGTGACTCCAACTTAAGAACAAACATTGTCTGATTATACTTAAGAGTGAAACTAACGCACCAGAAGCCTTTAGAGAAACAGCTCTTGAGAGAAAAGCTTAAAGAGATGTATTCAAGGACGTGACGGAGCGTCCGTGACTTTGGGCCCATCTTTAGTCCTGCTTTCTGAACATCTTCACTTTTTGGGCCAGATACATGTGTGATGGATGTTGGGACGGGTCCAAACAGAGGGTGAAGTGTTACTGTGGTGTTTGTAATGTGTCCCAAGAGGGTTTTGGACTAGTATTCATCAACACTGCCCTACTTCTTAATGAGGTAATACTAAATAGGTAAAGGGTGCAACTTCATACCAATAGTGGAAACTTTTCCAAATAAATTCAATGTGTTAGTTTTTATTGTAGAAAGTAATATACATACAAATAATTAGAATTACTTCTCTCAATATTAGGCAACTCATCATGCATGATGATCCTGGTTTCCACTGTTCATTTATCATTAGGTTTGATAATAACTTTGTTCAATGATTGAATTATAATGGTGCAATAAAACACCTAAGTCATTTGTTTTGGTATTTTTGATATGTAGATAGGTAATTCAAACTTAAATATAATTTAGAATGTAACTATGAACAGGATCCAGAAACAAACTGAAAAGGGGTTTGAACAAAGAAAGCAAAACAGAACACACACACACACACGCACGCATACATACACACACACACACAATAGCTTCCTCCCATTACTCACTTTGTGCTGAAGGCATCTCAGGGGCTTCTATGAAAATGTTTTTGTTTTTTTTATCATATTTTCTTATCTAAACATGTATTTAAATCAACTATCAATCCGATCTAAAGAATAATTCCTTGTAATAATAGAATCATTTGTTCCTTGCCCTATTTAATAGATTCAGCTTATTGAGTTATCTTGCCAATCAACAACGTCCCAATGCATTTTTATTTGGTTGGGACATGTAGCTTATTAATTGTCCAGTTTAGGTAAAGCTTCTAAGAAAACTTGACCTGACACTAGCACACTTAAAGTTCTTAAAGAGGCAATATGTAAAATGTCCATGTCAAGTCATCATTAAATGGCCCTAATCCGTCAAAAGGCTTTAATAAACCACGTTCTTTTCGTCCAGCCGCGATAATTTAATTTCAAAATTAGTTTTACAGCCCCTAAATCTTGTTATTGTTTTCATTTCGATGTCCCGCCCTCCACCGTTTTACCAATCAGAAAGTCCTTGATCCGTGTTGCCAGAACTCACCTCCTCGAGCTAATCTGACTGGTAAAGTAACATGTGGCCTCAGTGCTAAAAAGGTCTTGTTATGATTATCAAATCATTAACGACAAAACAAGGAATAAAATGAGGATTTCTATCTTTGTGAAAATGGTGTTGTTTATAGATTTGTTGTTGACAAAACCCATGTCTATTCAGATATTATGGTCCAGCTGGATTCGTTTGTATATCTGGCAACCTGAGTCAGGGAGAGTGGGAGAGGCTGCAGTACCACTTTTGGCCACATTTTTACATATTGCTCCTTTAACATTTCTGTGAACTACTAAAAAGGACAATGCCAAAACCGTTTACTGCATCCATCTGACAATGTCAATTCTTAAAAGGTTAATGTTTTGCCTGAAATATTCCACAGCATTGATAGATTGAAACAACACCTCCTCGGCATCAAACAGCAAAGCGGCGTATTACAGCTTTAATTTGTCCTCCTTGTCGTTTTCCAGTGCAATCCTCCAGAGCAGGTCCATCTCTGGGATCCAGCGCCAGGCCTTTTTCTCTCTCCACACTGTGACTCGGATGTAAGACAGCGCACACAAAGCCAATATTTATTTGAACAGCTGCTGTACCATCCACATGATCCTGCTGATGTCACATGAAAGCCTCAGTTAGAAATATCATGTGTTGACATTCAGTGCGGATGATCAATGTACACTGTTTCTGTGTTTTCAGAAAGAATCAGTGATACATTTCTTATTTTGGTTTTTGCAGCACTGTGAGTAACATGATTAGTCTGCAGTACATTGAAGAGGGAGCCTTCACTGACCTGCCAGAACTGGAGTATTTGTAAGTGTCACCGGCGATTATCTGTTTGTCCGCGAGCAACATAACTTACGGGAGGATTTGGACGACATTTTCAGAAGTCTTGCGCAACCTTCAAACCACATTTGTTTTATATAATTCCGTTCATTTTTTTACATTTTGGCCTCAGTCAAACCTTTGGACCAGACTGTTGGACAGATTAGTTAAAAGAGAGGACCACCTTCCCAAGATTAAATTATGTACAACTATTCTAATAAAATGAAGAGAGCGAGTTGTGGTCCGATTTGTTCATGTTTTTCTTTCTGTTGAACAAAAGAACAAAGTAAAGTACAGCAGCTTTAAAATACCGACAAAGGCATACCAGGCTAAACACTGACAACCTCCTTGCCCAACATGATAGAAAAAGGCTTGATAGCTGTTGTGATAATGTTTCTATTTTGTACTTATTCACACAGGAGCATCTCCAACACTGGGCTCCTCCATTTCCCAGCCTTCACCACCATCTCTTCTCTGGCTTCCCGCCCTGTCCTGTATGTAACACCAAAAACATTTCAAATATTATATAAATATGTCATGGTTTTTATCACCTTGCCTCTCGCACTGGGTCACAGTTCAAACCGCTTCAAGCCTGTACAAGTGTAATTTTGTCTAACTGATAGAAAGCCTTAATGTTTTGTTATCTTGTGTTTAGGGACATGGCAGACAACATCAGGATCCACGCCATTCCTGCTAATTCTTTCCAAGGAATCTCAAAGGAGCCTGTGGTCTTGTAAGGGCACCGTTTTATAATTTTATCAATATGAACAACATGTAAAGTTGGATAAAACCTCCGCAATCTCAACTAAATAAAAGTTATGAGCCTGATGGGCAAGTGTTATATCATAGTGTCTTGGGTTACACAGTCATAGGTTAGAAGTGCATAAATACAATTAAATTACTATTGCAGCAACACATGATCTATGTTTATGGGTAAAACCAATCAGCCTATAATTACCATATGTTTTACTTACAATACCGATCGCCACTAACAGCCGCTTTGATTACGTTTATTTAAGAATACAACATGAGCGAATAATATCCTGTTTCATAATTGAGAAAGGTATATAAAAAACAAAATGTTACATTATTGTTTTTAGTGCAGTCCACACTGAAACACAACTACTACTACTTTGGCACAAACACACGTCTCCCCACCCCTTCTGTCTAAATCAGGGGTGTCATTCATACGGCCCGCGGGCCGGAACCGGCCCGCCAAGAGATTTGACACGGCCCGCGGCTCATTTATGTAAAAATATAATAATAATACATTTTAAAAAGCCGCGACGCAAGGCTCCGCGACGCGACGCCGCAGCGCCGCGCTCAGGGGTGAGTCCAGTGCGTCTGTAGTGGCTCCACCAGAGCGGTGCTGAAGGAATAACATCTTAAACTACAAGACTCGGCGAAAAATACGGCACTTTGAGCGGAGAATTGAGAAAACAGAAGATAAACCTGTCTGGCCCTGAAGCCACAGCAGTCTGTTTGTGCCCAGAGCGAGAGGTTAGTTCTGCTGCTGTAAAGGGAAGCTACCTGTGCTAACAACATTAGCATTAGCATCGCAGCCGCACAGTGAGAGAGAGTTGTTAAACTCTTACAGGCTGCAGACATGGTCTGAGAAACCACTCGCTTTTACCAACATGTTGCCATTGATAAGAGACTGATGTTACTGATGTCACATATTCATTTGTGGTGTTACTGAAACTATCAGAGGAGTTTTGAGCGCTGCTGGTGCTGGTGCTGCTGCTGGTTCTGCTGTTGTTGCTGGTGTGTTGGACAGTGTGGACGGGTACCGATGGTAAAAACAGGTGTAGTGACAAAGCTGCAAATGGAGGTGATGATTTTTGGACATTTGACTGTGTTTTACAGAGACTCTGCTGCAGTCGTTCAGAATGGATCACGTTATGGAAGTTGTTTTATTCATTTCAACTGAATCATGGTCAGTTTGATGCTTTCTCTCTGATAATAACATAACCATGGACCTTACCACACTGAAGATGGTTAATGTGATAATAACATAACCATGGACCTTACACACTGAAGATGGTTAATGTGATAATAACATAACCATGGACCTTACCACACTGAAGATGGTTAATGTGATAATAACATAACCATGGACCTTACACACTGAAGATGGTTAATGTGATAATAACATAACCATGGACCTTACCACACTGAAGATGGTTAATGTGATAATAACATAACCATGGACCGTACCACACTGAAGGTGGTTAATGTGATAATAACATAACCATGGACCTTACCACACTGAAGATGGTTAATGTGATAATAACATAACCATGGACCTTACCACACTGAAGATGGTTAATGTGATAATAACATAACCATGGACCGTACCACACTGAAGATGGTTAATGTGATAATAACATAACCATGGACCTTACCACACTGAAGATGGTTAATGTGATAATAACATAACCATGGACCTTACCACACTGAAGATGGTTAATGTGATAATAACATAACCATGGACCTTACCACACTGAAGATGGTTAATGTGATAATAACATAACCATGGACCTTACCACACTGAAGATGGTTAATGTGATAATAACATAACCATGGACCGTACCACACTGAAGATGGTTAATGTGATAATAACATAACCATGGACCTTACCACACTGAAGATGGTTAATGTGATAATAACATAACCATGGACCTTACCACACTGAAGATGGTTAATGTGATAATAACATAACCATGGACCGTACCACACTGAAGATGGTTAATGTGATAATAACATAACCATGGACCTTACCACACTGAAGATGGTTAATGTGATAATAACATAACCATGGACCTTACCACACTGAAGATGGTTAATGTGATAATAACATAACCATGGACCTTACACACTGAAGATCGTTAATGTGATAATAACATAACCATGGACCGTACCACACTGAAGATGGTTAATGTGATAATAACATAACCATGGACCTTACCACACTGAAGATGGTTAATGTGATAATAACATAACCATGGACCTGACCACACTGAAGATGGTTAAGCTGAGGTGCTGTGTTAAAGTGCTTTTTTCTGTCTACTTTACCTTTGTGAGTAAGTTTTCTCTGTAATGAGCCTTAAAACAAAGCTAACATACAAATATTAATATACATATTGTGAAATACCATTTTCAATGTAATATTGTAAATACATTACATTATTTGCACTATGGAAAACTCACTGTTACATTTAAGTTTGTAACAGAAAACTGAGTATTAAAGGACAGTGTTTTAAAGGAAGTTTTAAATAAATGTGTTTATGTGCACAAAAAGTTGGACTTTGTACCGTTTTTGGATATTTTTGTAGAGCATCTCCTGGTCCGGCCCACTTGAGATCAGATTAGGTTGTATGTGGCCCCCGGACCAAAATGAGTTTGACACCCCTGGTCTAAATGTTCCTTTGTTCCAACTGTGTGCACTATGAGGGCGACAGTAGCTCAGTTGAGTCATCTGAACTGAAGGTCTCTGGTTGAGTTGTACCAAAGAAAGACTGAATGGTGCTCTGATGTGAAGGGCTTTCGAAGCCGTGAAAGGTATAAAGCATTATATAAATACCACAATTTTGCAATTCGATCATAGACTACAACGTTAGCTTCATGCCGTAATAGCGTTAGATGTGTCGCTAAGATGGTTAGAACCAAGAGTTTTTCAAGGCAAAAGAATTGCCTCCGATTGGTTTAATCCTTATTTTGATGCGTGCCTTCAACCATCACTCCATGTAAGAAGTGTAGTTAAAGTAGAACTCCCAACTAATACCACTAGATGGGAGTGTTGCTTATCCTGACCATGTCTTATTGCATTACACTATGTCATACTTTGTCACGTTCTAAAACTGAATAGATCTGGAGTAAGTATGCTCAAGATCATGTTTATGATCAACTTCCTGCTCTCTTTACCAGGCATCCCCTTTACGTTCTTCAGAGCTGTGTTCTACCATTTTACTGTCCTCATGCACTTCACCCTCCTGACCTTTTGTCTCACCTTTTCTTGATAGTGAACTAACACATTTCATCCTTGACAGAAACCTGCGCAAAAATGGTTTCCAGGAAATTCAAGCACATGCATTCAACGGCACCAACCTCGACTCAGTGTAAGTTTGACTTTAAGATCGCATTGTAAACAACCCATACACACTAAGACATATTTCAAATATTGCTTCACAATTATATTAATCTATGTTTTTCCTTCGTAAGTCAGTACTGTACTCTCATATCGACATGTTTGCAAGACTAAACAAAGATTTGGTGCCTGGCTGTTGACTTAGTTTACAGTAGGGAAATATGGATATCTACAACAATGTCAAGCTAAATAAAATAAAGGCTCAGGGTCACTTTATTCAAGCCTTGACTAATAAAAGCAATGAACAAATGTGTTTTCAGGATTTTGAAGGACAACAAGTTTCTGACTAAAATTCATGACGATGCATTTAGAGGAGCCTCTGGACCCACTTTATTGTAAGTTTTACAGTTCCTAACCTAACAACTATGGGCCTCTGTGGCATTTATTGCTAAATATATTGGGCATCCAGAGATAAACACAGTATAAACCATTCATACTGTACAAAGAAAGGGTCAAGGGTGGAGAGAGAGAGGCTCTCTGGGGTTAATACTGGACTCAGAATTAAATTAATAGAATTAATAGCCACATCAAATCAGTAACATCAGCAGCTTTTTACCACCTAAAAAACATTGCCAGGATCAAAAACATAGTGTCTAAAGCAGACCTGGAGATTCTTATTCATGCATTTGTCTGACCATATTAGTCCAGTTCTCAGGTCTCTGCACTGGCTTCCTGTGGCTCAGAGAATAGACTTTAAAACAGCTCTGCTTGTTACAAGTCTCTCCATGGCCTCGCACCAAAATATATTAGTGACATGTTAGTCCCATATGAACCAGCCCGGACTCTGAGGAGCACAGGGACTGGACTCCTGTTAGTGCCCAGAGTCAGAACTAAACATGGGGAGGCTGCTTTTCAGATTCATGCTGCTAAAATCTGGAACAGTCTTCCTGAAGATGTGAGACAGGCCTCCTCTCTGACAATGTTTAAAACCAGGTTAAAAACAGTGCTGTTTAGCTGTGCATACAACTGAGGGATTTTATATTTTTATCTTTCTTTTTAATGTACTGTGATTATTTATGGTTTTAATGCTTTCTTATTTTGTTCAGCACTTTGAATTGCCTTGTGTATGAATTGTGCTATACAAATAAACTTGCCTTACCTTGCCTTTGGGCCTCAGCAGCATTCTTCAGTTCCAGAGAGAGGGTCCACAGACAGAACTAACAGTGAGCGACCTCCTCATACAGTATATGGCAGCTGTGATGTCACACTCGATTGGTCAGTCAGGGGGGGTCAGCCAGGACACAGTGGTGGCCTACCGTTGAGGGGTTGCCAGTTGGGATGGGTCCCGGGTCAAAAGGGTCCATGAGTACGGGCGCTGTTTGTAATCTGACTCTTTGCTGGTGGTACCTGGAGACAGAATTATTCACTGAATTCTTACGTCTTTTTTTCCTCTCGAAAGCAGCTTCACGGGCTGGTCCAAAATTTGGCTCTTGGCTCAATGCTAAGTTCCAGATGCGTGTCAATGCAGAAGGGAGTATTGTTTTTTGGACAAGCCTAGTTTAGCCGCTGTGGACTTTTGAATGCACTTGATAAATGAATGAGGCTCGTGCAGCTAACGTATGCACAAATGCAACTTTTCACATTTTCCTGCGGATGGGGCAACTCACTGCTATTTAGGGAAAAGTGGAGATAGGTGACTACGTCCGTTAATATTTACAGTATGTGGGCGTACCTTTGATATCACATTAAAAAGCAAATTCATCCCTACAGTATTGTCTGATGGGATGGTCATTACAAAACATTTATGTGCATTTACAACAACAAAAAACATATTTTTTCAAGATGTCCATATTGTTTTGAACAGGGAGCAGCAGAAGCGCCATATGTCAGCAAATTATAACGTTCATCGTAGGGAGAACAGAGAAAAACTTCTTTATATTCAAAACATTTTTGATGGACTGGAAAAGCAACGGAGGTGGAGACGGCTGTGGGCGAGACCTTTCAAAGTGCTGCAACAAATTTTCTGACTAAAGTAGGCGTGGAAAGGCAAGTTTATTTGTAAAGCACAGGTCATGCAAAAGTGCCTATCAAAAAAAGAAAGGAAACAATAATATCATACAAGGATAAATAATCACAGTCCATTAGAAAGAGTGTGGATATCTTTCAGTAGTAGGCACGGGTAGACACAGCTGTATTTGAACATTGTCAGAGTAGAAGCCGGTCTCACATTTTCAGGAAGACTGTCCCAGACTTTGACAGCATGAATCTGAAATGCTGCCTGAACATGTGCAGTACGTTAAGTTTGCACGCAGACCGGCCACTGTTAGTCAACACATTGTAAATCTATGCTTGTTCAGAGCCGTGTTGAGGCCACCATTTTTGAACTGGGCCAGAGCAAAGAGATTAATATGCATAAGACTGTTTATCATTCTATTGTATAAACACTGAGGGGTGACAGGCTCCGTGTAAACAACCAACAAGCCACACGGAGCGCGGAATGCTGATCAGTGAGCAAATAACCAGTGCTACTTGTAAGGTCTCTGAAAGAAAACTTCAACTCCAATCAGTTTTTACCTCACATGACTCAATATTCAGAGATAATACTAAACAATAACATGGAAAAGTGTGTGTTTTATTGGTGGAGATAGTCATTCCAGGACACTCATACACTATCGTCCCAGCTGCTGTCCATGAAGTGCCATTACGTGTTGATAAAATAAAGTTACAAGAGAGAGGAGAACCCTTATTCATCCCACAATAGGAACATTTCAGTTCAGTGTTGTAGTGCACTTTGCAGACAGTTGGAATAGAGCACTCAAAACAAGAGAAATATGACCAAAACGTGCATGGTCGTTGCTTCTCTCTAGCTGACAGAAAATAGTGTTTTTCAATATTTGCATGATAAATGTTGGGCCCATAAATAAGTTTGTTGGTACGTCTACTACATCATCTGTTGCATTACTCTGGTTTGTGATGAATTTGAAAACACACTAGTCCACAATGTTTTAGTATCAGCGCTCCAGCGACGCCTGTGGGACCAACAGAATTGAAATTAAAACAGCTCTTCTAGTGAAACAAAGAAATTATGATTAACTCACTACCCAAATCTCACCCAATGGAACGGAATGTGGTAATTGCTGCATGATTCTGAAGAAATGTGATCGTTCTGGGATTGGACTTGAACAGGTTTAGAAAATACAAGGTAAAGAGCTCTAAACACAGACGGCCTTATGTTTATCATATGCAACAATATGAAGGAGAATGTCAGCTGTGGCTGACAAGACTGTTGTGGGTTCGATCCCCAGGGGTCTCTCTGTGTGGAGTCTGCATGCTACTCCCGGTGTCTGGGTGAGTTTCTCTGGGTGCGCCGGTTCCCCCACCGCCCAAAACATGGAGCAATATGAATGTGGATAGTGGGTAACGTTGGTGGTCGGAGTTGCCAATTGCTTCAGTCCGTCCGCTGCTGGGAAGCTGTGGCCAATATCGTAGTTTAGCTTTGCGATTTGCTATTTGTGGCCAATAATATTGTAATTCGGGTGTATTGTAACATTAAGTATTTAATGTTTTGCTGCATGAATGATATAGACATATACAATTAAATTGTGTATGTGTACATCTATAGACTACCAATAGGTGTACTTACATGTGCTGCTTTGTGGAAGCTTCCTTGGAGTTACAAAATCATAGTAATAGTAAAGTGTATGGACTTGTAATGTGTGGTATGTGAAGAGAATTTAATTGACTTTTTCCCTTCCCATGGGAAAATATGGATCTAATCCTGTCATTACCCCATCTGGCCACTAGACAGAGACAAATCACAAACAGTTCAATGCAAGTTGACTCATTGTTTTGGTACTCTGTACTATTTTTGCTTATGTTTTTGTTCACTTTTCAGGGATGTGTCGTGCACGGCTCTGAGTGCACTCCCAGAAAGAGGCCTCGAGAATATGACGCACCTCATTGCCAATTCAACCTATGCCCTGAAGACTCTTCCAGATTTAGGAGGTCTGTCTAAGGTCCGTACCGCAGAGCTGACGTACCCCTCCCACTGCTGCGCTTTCGATAAGTGGCGCAATGAAAACAAGTATGAGGCATATTTATTTATTATTTATTTAGAGCAAACAAATGCAAACACGATCTAATCCTATTTTTCTTTTTACATTTAAAGCAAAAGCCTCAACGAAAAAACAAGACTGTTCTGTGATAGCCTCAAGTAAGTCAACCTTGGGATCTTTGTACAATTTAACACATTTTGCAAAAAATAAATAAGTTCAATTAGTGTTCAATTCATTTGAACACTCAGATTAGCAATTGTGTTCAAAATTTAGTTGCAATGAAAGATGGAGCGTGAAATGGGCAAATGGATATGTGGAGCACACGCAGTATCGGACTGTTGTGGTGAAGAGGGACCTCTCAGTGTTCCAGTATTCATGAACTCTGGGTAATGACCGCAAGGATGAGATCGCAGACACATGGTCGAAATGAGTTTCCTCCTCAGAGTGGCTAGGCACTCCCTTAGGGTGAGGAGCTCAGTCACACAGGAGGAGCTCAGAGTAGAGCCACTGCTTCTCCACATCAAGAGGAGCCAGTTGAGACCCACGACATGTTGGAGGGGCTATGTCCCTCAACTGACCTGGGAAAACCTCAGGGTTCCTCTGGGTGAGCTGGAAGTGTACCTAGACAGGCATTTGCTGCTCAAGCCATAGCCACCGTCCCCTGCAGCGCCGCGACTTTAGGCCGCTGCCCCCCACTGCTGTGATTACAATGAATGTTGCATTACCTCTTGAAGTAAAAAAAATTCTAACTAATTCATCTAAATAGTCACCAGGTGCACTCAAAGCACAGCGCACTGAAACTTAAAGATTAAGTTAATGTCAAAACAATCATTTATGACCTTTATTATGAATCTCCTTTGTCTTTTCACAGGGAAAACAATGCACTTGCAGACAGCCATGTAAACTACTTATTTCAGCAAGAATGCCTCAACAGCTCCGACATCGATTGCACACCCAAAACTGATGACTTTAACCCGTGCGAGGACCTTTTGGGCTTCTCCATCCTCCGCTGCCTCTCCTGGATCATCACTATTTTCGCCATCACCGGAAACCTGGCCGTTCTGCTCATCCTCCTCATCAGCCACAACAAGCTGACAATATCCAGATTCCTCATGTGCAATCTTGCCTTCGCAGACCTATGCATGGGGCTGTACTTGATGCTCATCGCCTTCATGGACATCCACTCCCTCCACGAGTACTACAACCACGCTACATACTGGCAGACTGGGCCGGGGTGTGGCATCGCCGGCTTTTTGACCGTGTTTGCCAGCGAATTATCCGTGTACACGCTCACTGTGATAAGTCTGGAGCGCTGGCATACCATCACCAACGCCATGCATGTCAACAAGCGCCTCAAGATGCACCACGTGGCGGCCATGATGGTCGCGGGCTGGTTCTTCTCTCTCTTGGTTGCACTGCTCCCTCTAGTGGGGATCAGCAGCTATGGCAAAGTCAGCATTTGCCTACCGATGGACATTGACACGCCAATATCGCAGATTTACGTCATCGTGATACTGATCGTCAACGTCATTGCATTCATTGTCGTGTGTTATTGTTACATATGCATCTATTTTAGCGTTCACAAGCCGCAGCACTCGACGCGCAACGGTGACACGAAGATTGCAAAGCGGATGGCGGTGTTGATCTTCACCGACTTCATCTGCATGGCGCCCATTTCGTTCTTTGCCATCTCCGCGGCTCTAAAAATGCCTCTGATCACGGTGTCCCATTCAAAGATCCTCCTAATTCTCTTCTATCCCGTAAACTCGCTCTGCAATCCATTCCTCTACACCATTTTTACACGGGGCTTCCGGAAAGATGTGTGCGCGCTTCTGGGCCGCTGTGGATGCTGTCCGGGCCAAGCAGACTTTTACCGATCCCAGACAATGCCCTCGCACCTCTCCAACGCGCAGAAAACGGCCAGTGGGAAGTCGCATTCGCTCAGCTTCTACGCACATCGGCTGAAAATGAAGGGCTGCTTACTGAACAGAGGCGCCACATGACTGAGAAAACACTACGGACTCAAAACGAGACGAGCCGAGCTGTGTTTGGTGTATGTAACTTCAAGGTGTTATTACAGAACTTGTCTGAAAAATCATGCACTTGTAAATTATAAGGAGGTAAGTATTGAACAGCTGAAGCCAGAATTGGATTTATTGTACATTTTTACTGTAGTGGAATAGCGTTTTGGCTGAGGATGGTGGCTTTAAATTGGTCAATTGTTTTTAAGTTATCAGCTGTAAATAAATGCTAATATTATATTTCCTCCCAATGAAGTCCATATGTGTATTTATGATATGTATATTTATGAGTATGTTTTATAAATGCTGCTCTACAGAGCTTTTATTTTCTATGTTTTCCCTCTGTATCTGTATTTGGATGTAAGAATGTGATTACACACCAACATGGTATTAAACATTTATATCATGACAGCTTTGTTTGTGAAACTGCACTCTTGAAGGTCAGACACAAAACGATTACGGTTCACTTAAACATTTAGTCCAAATGTTTTCAAGGCAAAACAAAAAGATACAAACATGTTTTAGTAATGAGTAGACAAAACATTGGCTTACATTAAAGATATTTTTTCCAGCAAGAAAAGTTGTTATGAAAATAAATGTGTATAAACAGAAAATAGCTTCTTTGAGCCGGATAGATGGGACCCTAAATCACATTCTTAAGTCTCACCTTTATCATCACCGTCTTCACTGAAAGACACTCCTCTAAAGCCCACTACCACTCCGCCTCCCCCACTGCCTTGGAGAACACATAGTCCCTGCCTCCATAAGTCATCACACCATCCTTCAAATGAAACTTCCAGCGATTCTTACTGCGGTGGATCTAAAAAAAAAAAAAAAAATTGAATTATTAATTCAGAAGACCACAGTGACACATGAAATGTAAATCGCGCTCTTACTTTGTCGTACTGGCAGACGATTACGTTCTCCGTGTCAAACAGGTTGGGGATGTCCTGCTCCACCACGTCATCACCTGAATTTAAGGGATCCTAAAAGTGTTTCAGAAAATTTGATTTATTTCTGTAATTCAACTTGAAACGTGAAGCCAATATATGATAAATACTCATACATGCAAAAGTGACATGTGCCGAGCCTTTGTTATTGTCTTATGGCTTGCAGTCCATGTTAATCCATTAAATCAACATTAGAACAAATACATATATCACATTGCATGCAAGGAGTAGTAAGTTCACATTGTATGTTGAATTACTGAAGTGCCACCTATTATTTTTTGCCTTTTCGGCTTGAGAATGAATTATAAGCACGTTGTAAAACCAATTCCATTTCCAGGTCACCTCAGTGCAGAATGGAGGTATCCTGCTCACATCAAGATTGCAGTCATTCTAAGTCTTGTTAAATACATGGTGGGGAACATTTTATGAAAAACATATCCATAGCGACTGCTTTATTCTTACATAATGTGAGACTAGCACAATGATTGAAGAGAATCTAACTTTCAGGAGGTGTACAGCATTGGCATTGTGACATATACCCATGGAAACAGAAGCTATTCTTGGACCCTTTTCTATGGAGATAAATGTGTTTCATGCCATTTTGTATAAGATTATAGTTATTATTCCCTGGAAAGGAGCAGAACCCTCCCTAAGGAGTCAGGCTATTGGAGATGCAAGCCCACTCACATTGTTTTTTCCTGACTTTTGAGGCAGGACAAAAATAGGTATCTTGATGAAAACCCGCAAGTGGAAAGTCACAAATCAGATCTAGAGATGAGCCTGCCCATGTTCCATTACAGGAAAACACATCACATAAATGACCGCCACATGGTTAAGAAAGTTAAAAACAATGCTTTATAAATAATCATTATTCTCTAGCCTGGCTCTAGCCAACCTTCTCGCCTACATACAAGTTCAGCTATTTTATGTAGGCGGGGCTAAAGGTCGGCTGGAGCCAGGCTAATTATTGTTAGCAACTATTTGAGTCCATTTCTGACCCTGGGACACTGTAGCATTATGCACGGTAAGTATTTTTCAACAATATGTTAAAAATGGCCTCTCTTGGCATAATCACGACAATTAAGATTCAACCAATCAGGAAGTTGCAGAGGTGAGTATGGGCAGGTCAGTGCTTACAGTCTATGGTGCTCGTTTCCCAAAAGTTTTACTCTCACTTCAGTTTGAAAAGTAACTGACATTCCCCTCGTCTTTTTAATAGTTTCAAAAGAAAAAGCAAATATTGAAGAGGCTAAGTAATGAACTAAACATTTACGTAAGTAAGTAATCTTTATTTATATGCTGCCTTTCACAGACCAGAGTCACAAAGCCGTTTACAATTGTAGGCATTTGTCTCTCACTCCACACAGAGATGGGAGCGGGGCCACTATTGTACATGTTTTTAGTGTATAGGGGAAACTGGAGTACCCGGAGGAAACCTATGCAGACACGAGGAGAACATGCAAACTCCACTCAGAAAGGCCCTGTTCCGACCGGGATTCGAACCCAGGACCTTCTTGCTGAGAAGCGAGGCTGCTATCCAGCCACTGTGCCACCCAATTTAAATTCAAGCCACTTTTCTTTTTGCGGTGGATGTAATGTTATTGATTGGTCTCACCTCGTCCTCCACGTGTGCCAGCTCGTCCTCTGCTCCGTCGCTGTCGCTGCTGGATGAGAGGCCGTCGCTGTCTCCCTCCTGCAGCGCCCTGATCGCTTCTGCATTAATCATCCCCAAAAAGTCATTCTCTTCCAGCGCACCCACCTCCTCCTCAGAGTTATCAGCGGCGCCATCGAGCTGCACGATGTCTGCAAGGGCACCGTAGTCCAGGTCCAGCTGAGCAGTTCAGACGTCAAGTGAGGACATTTAAAATACATATGTACATTTCAACTTAAACTTTTGGCATATTTTGTTTATGACCACAAACAAAAAAGGGTTAGGGTTAATTTAGGATTTTATTTTGATTGACTGGAACAAAGTAACAGACAATTTGTGATGCGAAAGCAATTATGGTCCAGTCCAAGTCCAGACCTGCATCCACTTGAAAATCTGTGAAAAATAACCTGCTGTTTTTAGAAAAGCTCTCCATCAAATCTGACAGAGCTCGATTTGTTTTGTGAAGATACATTGGCAAAACCTTCAGAATCTAGACCGTGTCAAATATGGACTGGGTGTTTGAGTTCAGTATCATCAGTTTGATAATAATTGGTGCAGTTTATAGTGCCTGAATAAAATCTGAATAGTTTTACAATATGGGTTGTCGGCCCCTTGACAATAGTAGCCTGCTTATTAAAAAGTTTGGGCACCCCAGTCCCTTCGCTTGTATTTATGTCAGGTATCAGCAGATATTGAAGCCCAAGTATTGGAATCTGCATCCGATTTGATAAAGCTGGATCAATTAAAGCATCCCTATAAAAAACCTAAAATTAACATAACAAATCTAACCTACCCCAAGATCATCATCAGCTTTGGTTGGATCCAGGTAGCGGACTTTCTCCCGCTCCTTCTCGATGACTTCTTTTAGGAGGTCGTCGATGTCCGTGGTGTTGGCGTTCATTTGGAAGTCCAGAACGTGAGCAGGCGAAGGGTTCATGCTCAGGTTTAAGGGCTGATCGCAGTCTTCAGTTTTCGTCTCCAGCTCCGGAGAAGGCGTCTCCAGAATATCTTCATCTTCAACATCAATCTGAGGTGTTGGAGGTGTTGGAGGTGTTGGAGGTTGCGGAGGCAGGACAGGCTCTTGAATTGGAGCTGTATTGGTTTTGGGAGGCAGGGTGACAGCTGTGGCCTGGGACACAGCTGCGTTTGATATCATCGGTGGGTCTTTTTGGACAGGAGCAGTACTAACTCTGATATGAAGCATTTGGGATTGTGGGACTTTAGGAGCAGGATGGGTCAGAGGCTGCTGTCCGGCTGGGGCCTGTGTGACCACAACTGGGACGTTGACTTTATACAGCTGACCTGAAAAGGCGAATTTATCATTTTGAAACTCTCAATGTACAGTTGTGCTGAAAGTACACAGGTCTCCGTTCACTGTTATTGGAAATTTCTCTTCTGACCCTAATCAGAAATCTCCATCCCCCAGTTCTCAATAGCATGTATTTCGTCTTTAACATCTATGACCACTCTGAGTCTATTAAGGTAGTTGTGGATGACATTCTTTATCCTCTCTAATGCTAATTCTGCTCATTCTTTTGTACAAAAACAGTCCAGTTCTTTTTATTTTTTGGGCCACCTTGCACGGACTGTACATTTCCTCCCTAGAGAAGCTCAATTATGACATCATTCAAAAATAGAAAACAAGTTTGACAATTTGACCAACAATAATCAAACTTTTTACCCGAGGCGGTTTGCAGTGTGACTCCTGCAGGTATCTGGACTGGATAGGTTAAGCCAGCAGGAAGAGAAAAGGTTGCCACGGTCTCTGAGGTGGTCTGCCATTCAAATACATTATGGGTTAGGGATTGGAAAATTAATGTATAGATTGGAAGCCAGTTACCTTCACTGGATAGGATTGGACCTTTTGGCTCGTGGGAATAACAACTGAAGCTGAAAAACAAACAAAAAAACTGTTTAGTACTTCTCAATATTTAAAGGTTTCCTTTTGGGCACATGAGCAAGGCCTTTTACCTATTTTTCCCCAACTACCACTGGTGTGTGAATGACAGAACTAAAAAGTAAAGATTTTCTAATAACAGAGCTGATTGAAAAGCATTTCAAAATGCTTGAGTCACTTATATACAGTTGTGTTGTAATACAGTAAAGAGCATTTCTCTCATATCCTCTCTCTCGGGGGCTCCTTTGCCCTGGCAGGGGAAATTACTGCTTAGTGTGCCTAGAGTTAGATCTATGATGCTGGAGTACTGAAAGGAAACCCATCCAGATATGTGGATAAATTATGCCAACAATACAGAGAAATGAACAGGAGTCGAACCTGAAACCTTGTTGAATGTAGTTCTTGCTTTAACAGTCATGTCCTGGTCGTTGTGGGTGTAGCTGGCTGGAAGCTGCAGGACAAAGTTGGAGGAGTTGATGTTGTTTTTCCTGAAGTCCTCCAGAGCTTTGGACTGCATCATCTTTGACTCCCAGAGCTGCAGACAGAGACAGACATCAGACCACTGCCGTATGTGACTGATCTCAGATGATCTAAAAGAATTTCAGATGATGAGTGAGAAACTTACATGCCTCAAATCATCCAAAACACGGTCTTCAATGCCCTCGTCCAGAAAGAGCTCCCTCATGCTCTCGATCACATCGTCAATGATTGACAGATACAGCTTTGCCTGCAGGGGATAAGTCACTCATACAAAGGTGCGTGTGCTTATTGTGTAAAAATATTAAGCAAATCATATTGACATACAGATGCTTAAGTCACACATTAAATAAACAATGGTCCGCACTGATTTGTAAATCATTATTTTACAATTTAGTTCAAAGTTGAATTCAACATGAATCTGTGACACTCATATAATACAGTAGGCTGTTTATAAAATCCCAGATGTTCATGATAGCTCACCACTGGTCCTGAGTTTGTCAACATGATCCCACACCAACAGCTCAGTGTTCACAGCTGCGCCTTGTGCACTGCACACAGGTGCACCTGATAAGAGCAACAGCGCCATCTGCAGGCGCCGCTGAGCACAGCACGCTGTCATCACATTATGTTTTCTTTTATCTTTTTACGTATATTACATGTTGACGAGCAGTTGTTTTGGTTTGGTCTGAATAAAATACATAGCATCATTTTTTTAATTTTCTCTTAAACTTTGAAATCCAAACTTCAAAGATTCAGAAGCACCTGTATCACGGTACTTAGTAAAGTATTGATTATATATATTAGTATATTACTATATTAGTAATTCTCAAGGTGCTACAGGAGATTAAAAACAAAATCAAAACATCAGAATAAAACAATTCCAAACCATTTAGTTTGTATAAAAGGCAGATGGTGAAAATCAGCAGGAGACCTTTCTGAATAAAGCAGTCCACAGATTGTGACGCCCGCAGGTCTAATGACAGAGCCTAAATTAGTGATATTTCCTAACTCCTACTCCACTTGTATTTAAAAAAACGAGCTAGTGTATGTAAAAAGTGAATTGCATTTTTGATGAATAATTGATGATCTGCAAAGTAGACTATAAGGAGATGTAAGTACAGAAGATTGGGTTTCAAAGTAAGGAGTCAAACAAAAAAATAGTCTAAAAACGAATACAATACTTGTCACCTCTGCTGTGGGTAAAGAGTAATCACTCTTAGATAAGAAAACACACAGGACACAAGGATTAGATTGAATATTTTACTGTGACGTTTGTGCGGCTTCAGCCACTTCACAAGAGTTCACCTTTTTCTCCATAATGCTTTACATAAACGATACCTTTCATTGCATAATGAACAATAGACAAACAGATATAGAGATTTGATTGATTTAAATATATTTTACAGTCCCCCAGAGTACAACAATGGTCTAAAGCCACAATTCAGATAAGTGCAGAAGTTTTGTTGAAAATGAAAAGCTGGTTTGAAAAGCAGTAAATGTAGTTCTTACACCATTGGTCAAAATGGATAAATAGAGCATTGAGCACGGTTAAATGTAATAACATTATTTGATTTGGTTTGATTGAGCTGCAATATTGAGTATTATGAATAAAACATGGTAAAAAAAAAACAATGTTTGGAAGTTTTAATCATAAATTAAGAAAAATGAACCCTGTTTGATTATTGCAAAATTAGAACATTTTACGTGGGGCTCATTTGTGTTTGCAGCCTTGAACCATCAAAGCAGCTTTAATCTCGCATAACTCATTACTTGAGCCGTTTATCTCAAAGAGAGAGTTCTGCAAATGTCTTTTGAGGCTGCCAGTCAGTGTGCAGTGCAGACACAGGCAAGCTTATACACAGTACCATGTACTGGACTTGTACAGTCCACATTTCACTAGAAACGTAAAGTGCTAAAAGGAACACGTTCAAATGCTCATTAGGTAAGACTAATTCAGTCTTGTTAAGACATTAAACCATTACATGTCCAACTTTAGCAGGCTAAGAATAATAAGAATGAATTATTGGATGCAATCAGCAAGTCCCTCGTCACCTTCCTTTATTCTTCCTTTTGGTGGAGTTGAAAATCCAACACGAGCAGAGCTTTAATCATCACTGTGTCATGCAGCCAGACTCTCTCTCCGACTCCGTTTCAATCCACTTCCTCTCCACCTCCACCTTCACAACGAAACCAATTTATTTAGAAACACAACTTTGTTGTGGAGAGACATAGAGAGAAAGAGCTTACTTGGACGTGGTAGCGAGTCCAGCTGGTGATGTGTTTCTGAGGCTGGATGTCGTTGGCAGTGCCCAGAGATTTGACCCTGGTCTGAGACACTACGGCCCCCATAATTTCACATTCCATGGAGACAAAAGGGTACCAGTCATTAGGGATCTCCTGATCAGAGCCCAGCTCCAGCTTACAGGAGAATGAGTGTGGTTGGTCCACTGCTGCAGAGAGAAGAAAGGCCGATTGTGGAGAGTGAGATCATGAAGAGAGCACAGAGCAGCAAAGATCACACCAGAAACAATCACATAATCATGGTACTGTTATTACTATTCACACACATACACACGTGAAATTATTATCAAATAATATTTGTTTCTAACGGGAGTTACTAATTTTTTGAATAAGCAAGTATTTTTTCATACTAATTACGACTATAAAGTTATGGGACAGAATGAAAACGCAAAATATCAATAATAGTATTTACCAACTTTGGAATGAGTAAATGCTCTATTATCTAATCCACAATTTAAGCAATGGGAACGATCATTTAAAAAATCTGGAACTGTCAAAATCAGAACTACTGCTTTTAAGATTGAAGAGCCATCCCAATTATAAACTAAACTACATGATCAGAAAATGTTGTCACAAAGATAGTGGACTTACTAAATACATCTAAATGTGTTTAAGGGTAGAATCTAGTTAAATACCTGTATTTTTAGCTGGTAGTCTGTCGATCCTCCAGACAACTGCAGAATATACATTCTCATATTTGACGGTTCCAATGGACACCTGCATGACAGGCTGAGAGTTTGTCGTCCCTGCAGCTAAACAGGTGTTTCTGTTCATGCGGGCCTTTAGGGACCTCTGCCTCAGTAAGGCCACAGTCTGGGAGACTTTGACCCAGTCTCCAGGCACTGGGACCCGGATCAGCACGTTCTCACACAGGGGGAAGCTGTCTGACCTCAGGAAGGCTGGGGACATGTTGAGAAAGGCCTGCAGCTCCACATAGGCCCCCTGCACCGTAACTACAGCCTTCACAGAGAAAGGCGCTTCAGTGCAGCCCAGAGCCATGGTCTTAAATCGCATCAGCTCCACTCTGCATGCATCAGGAGGGCTGAATTTAATCAATCGGGACATGTGAAATTCTGTCTCATTCACACATTTATGAAAATGACAGTCAGCAATCTCCATCCAGATTTCACTAGCCTCATCTGATTCGTAGCTGGGGTTATGCTGCTGCAACACCAGGTCGTTCAGAGCCAGAAAACATTCTGATAATCCGTTCAGAAAAGCAAGGCAGTGGATCTGAGAGAAAGCTGCTCTTTCCATGACCTCTCCAGACTTGTCCAGTTGTATCCAGATGTGGTCTGTAATCTGCAGGGACAGCTCCTGCTCCTCGTAGTGCCTCCTGGGCTGGTGGGCCGGACTGAGCTGGAAAATCTCTTCCTCCATAGAGACCACCAGGTCCTCCATGTCGTCATGTGAGGTGGACCCCAATTTGAGCAGCTGCTCCACCTCGGCCTCATGGCTGACCTCCTGTTTGGGATGAAAGCGCTTCTTCTCTGTGTACGAGAAATGCTCCACCTTCACTGTCAGCACTTTACGAGGTTCTCCGTAGCTTTCTAACTTGAGCTCCGACAGCCGGCACTGAGGGAGGAGCTGGAACTCTTTGTAGGGTTTCTCCAGTCCTTTTTCATAGTACATCTGCAGCACGGCTCCGGGCAGCAGTTTCATATAGATGGGCCCCCACTGCCGCGAAGACATGCGGTTCTTCTTCTCTGGTATCCTGAGCATTACAGACCAACCATCTCTCTTCTGGCTCCGAAACAAACCTCGAGGGACAAACGTAGATGAACCGTCCGTTACAACTTCATCTCTGCAGCTCAATCGCCGCTCCCCATTTCCCCGCTCCTCGTCTTGGTCGGCCTTTGCCTTCAGGCCTTCTAGTTTGTGACAGACGTAGGAGAGAGAGTTCTGCAGGTGGTCCCGTGGGGGCTCGCTGCCATCTTTGGTCCTGATAAAAAAACGTGGGAGAGTATTGTCTGTGTCCGAGTCTGAAGAGGAGCTGTCCACATCTGCGCTGTGTCGGGACGCATGCCAAAATGGGTTATAGTGTCCTGAGTTTCCCTGGTAAGAGGGGAAAGGATTTGACCCAGCTGAACTCTGAGCCTCAGAACTCGGGGAGGACACCAAGGCAGTGGATGGACTGAAGGAAAATACGTCCTTGCTTTCCCATGAGCTGGAGTGAAACGGGGACAAACTGTTGGGAAGCCCGCTCACTGGAGTGCAAAGAGGAGTGATACACGGTGCAAAAGAGCTGCTGAGGCTGGACTGAGGAGAGTCCAGCGAGCTGTGAAAGCTCCAGGATGTGTCTCTGACAGGAGGAAGTCGTAGTTTGAGTCCATTAGGACGCGGAACTGAAGCAATGAGGAGGCCTGGTGTCTGAGGCTTCTGTGGCGAGGAGAATGGTGCAGTGTCATCTTCAAAAGTCACCCAGTTTGTGTGGTTTGTAGAGCACATGGCTGTCGGGTCTGTGCCAAGTCAGCCCCTGATGCAGTTTAATGGCCTCCTTCAGTGTTTCCTGCCAAATAGAACGATTCAATGTTACCATAGAAACATTTATTGACATTGAATGATAGATTGATTGGATTTATGTCAAGCTTCTAGACAGGAATCCATTATAGAAATTACAGCAATTACGTATTATACACGATAGAAACCTACATACATTCATACATAGATTAAAGGGTTTTCTTTTCTTCACATTGTGCTTTATTAATAGTTAAAGGCCAGACACAAAGACTATAATCTTATGTAGAGTGAGTCTGGTGTGGGTTTGTGTGAATGGCTGGTGGAGGTTAGAGGGGCAGATCGCACATACTAGTTGCCTCGCTTCTGTCAGTGTGCCCCAGGGCAGCTGTGGCTACAGTAGTAGTTTATCACCACCGTGTTTGGAGTGAATGAATGATAACATGTGAAGCGTCTTTGAGTGTCCAAAAAAGCACTATATAAAACTGATGCATTTATTATTATTATGTGCGCGATGAAAGTTGAGTGAAAAGTGATTAAACAATACAATAAAAAAAAGTTTTGTCCGTGTTTATTAGACAGCCTCCTATTATTAGATGTCTGTATCTCTGAAGTTGGTTTGATATGATACTTCACTACCATAGACTGTATCTCCGCCGTTCTAACTAACGGCCAAAAATTGGGCTCTCATGGAGTGATTCAAAATGGCCGCGGGGGCTGGAAAATGTGAAAAAACGCATCTGCGCATGAGTCAGCCGGCACGAGCCCCATTCATTTGAACGAGAGACTTCAAAAAAATCACAGCAAGTAAACTAGAGTGGGCCAAAAAAATTCACCCCCCTCAGCATTGACACACATGTGGAACGGAGCTTTGGGCCAAGAGCCAACTTTTGGACCATCCTGTAAAGACGTTTTTGAGAGGTTAGCATTGGCTATTTCCTGCTCCGGGTCCACCCCCATTGGCCCGGGGTGGTATTGCAAGCATGTCAGGGCAGGTCATTTTGGCCACTTTTGAGCTGGGACCCGCCCCCACTGTTCACTACAGAGGAACACATTGCTGTAATTCAAACTGTGCAAAAATCTGACTTGGCCTCCTTCTTAGTTATTTGCATTTCAAAATCAAGATAGCACAAAAGTTGCATCAGAATCTTCTCATTTAAACCTCTACATATAGAATGGATTTATGATGATGGAAAAAATATAAACCAATTAAATATAACCGCTAGTTTAGCCTGGTATGAGTGAAGCGGTTCTGAGATTTACACAATCTTGCCGTTAATTTCCCACAGCGACTCAATCACAGACCGGCTTTGATGTGTTGGCTGAAAACTCCAGGCTTCTACACGCCACAAAGAAGACATTTTTGAGCTCCATCTCTCTCTCTATAAAAAAAAAAAAAAAAGAAAACTGGGAAAAAAAGTATGAAAGCAGAAAGCAGCAATTATAACCGTCCATCCTCCCTTCATAATCACAGCCAAAGACACATCCAGTGGCAAGTGTCCCCAGCTATAAACAAGCGCAGTAAGTAACGGGCCTGGATTGACACTCCTCAAAAACATAAGACGACATCGTTCTAAAAAGCGTGTTTGCGGCGGCATCGTGAAGGCTCCCAACTTCTACATCTGCACATTTCATTTTTCCTTTGCGGAGAAACCTGAAGCAGAGACAGGGCAAGTATGAGTTCTAAACAGGGAACCCAGGATAGAAGTATTTAGTGTCCACCTCTTCCGGGATTTCTCCAGTAAAAAAACTAAAAAAAAAGGACTTAAGTCAAATCTGCAGAGGACAAAAGCATGCATTCCACAAATTCCTTTGGGGCAAGCAGCATTCACACAGGAAATACCAACCGGCTTGATATTTGATGAAGCGTCAACAAATATTCAGCTAATCAAAGTGCAAACTGTGTATGCGATTGTGTTTGGTTTAGGCTTGTCCAATGAGAAAAAAAGAATGGACACGGGTCAATAAGTCACCCAGGCGCGCATCAATAGGCAAATCTCACGCTCCGATGGCTTTCCTAGTCGTAGAATGGAAAGATCAGACTTTTGTTCAGGTCTGTTTCCATTTTATTTACTTCTACAATGTAGCGCAATTAAAATTAAAAGTATAATTTGTTGACGTTTCTCCGCTCGGAACAATTGCCAACTGTTGAGAGCCTTTCCCTTCTTACTTCAAATGGATATAATAATCAAAATAGACAGAAATGTTGATCCAGGGTCTCCCAACTTTTGCACCCCGATGTATTTGCCTGTGACACATGTCGATTAGATAAGATGGAGTTTATTGATGTCACAAATGGCATAAATAGTTTGTGCAAAAGGCAGGAAGTGTGTAAAAACAGGAAGAGGGCTAACATGATAAAAGTTAAATATTATCTCTTTTGCGCAAGATATATCATGTACATTAAAAATTAAATGTAGCTCCCTAAGCCTAACTGATGTAGGGTTTTTCCTGGGTAACGAAGCAAACTCTGTGTATTCTGTATGACTCATTTGTGTATCTGCTTTCTGTTAAACAAATGTGTGGTGCTATTTTTTGTTTAGGAATTTTGTAAAAAGAAAAAAAAGAGAGAAATATGCAAGAGCTAAAACCAACTAACAAACAGACAACCCAAATGAGAGCTTCATTCTGCTTTCTGATTGGATAAGCTGGATAAGCATAAGGAAGAGGCCCAACATGATTTGTACACATTGACCTATTATGTGGGGACAGATTTAAAACATGTAGATATGATAAAAAAAGACAATATTATATACCGTCCCTTTAAAGCTGGAGTTCTTTATGAGGTCTTTTTTCTTCATTAATAAAAGCTTATATTTTGTTAGTTCAAACAGAAAGTAAAATGTTGTGCAAAAATCAGACCACAATATGCCGTCTTTTAGAATACGCATTATATTTTGCTCTTTTAATCCTTTTGCATGAGAATAATAAAGAGAATGAAGTAAGTAAGTAATCTTTACCATTGTCTCTCTCTCCACTCAGAGATGGGTGTAAGGGTGCCACACAGGAGGCGCTTGGCAGACCTGTTATACTAGTATACATGATTTAAGTGGTAGGGGAAACTGGAGCATCTGGAGGAAACCTACGCAGACATGGGGAGAACATGCAAACTCCACTTAGAAAGGTCCTGTTACAACCGGGATTCGAAGCCAGTCTGAGTGAGGATGGTCCTCTCTTTTTCACTTTTCAGTTTGAAAAAGTCGAGCCAAAGATGTGACAGCCGCAAAATACACAAGCGTGAAAACTAGTGACAGAACCAACTGTTCTGAGAGCGAGGAACTAGTTTGATGGATTGTGTTATCTCAGATTTAATGTTCAGACAATGTTTTCAAATTTAGCGCAGTTGAACTTGGGAAATGGAATGGCCTAATCCCAGTATCTATCTGTTGAACTAATAGGGATTTATTAATTTTCATTTCAAAGACAAAATGTAGCAGAAGGCCTAACCGATGTTCTTGAAGCAGTCGGTCTGTCCATGAGTTTTGTGCTGTAGTTTATTTAGACCTGTCCCTTCAGAGAATGTCCTTCCTGCCTCCAGCCTAAAGTGCTGACACGGCTCAGAAAAAAAAAATTAGGAAAAATATAAAAAGAACTATGATGCATTAGTGGGATTAGATTTGTACAATATTGTCACTGTGGCTGAGTAGATATTGTTAGAACAAAACCACAAATGAAGAACGTTCAGGAGTCAATACAAGCCGACATTATGGGGTAACACATTCTAGTCACTTGATGAAAAAGATTCAAGTCATGTTTTATTTTCACTTGCTCCAATTAAAGTATCACCATCACATGCCTACGTCTAATGTGTGTTATCTATTTGATGACAGAGGGAAATGTTTGTGGTGCTAAAAATGCTGAAAAAGAGAAAATAGACTGAACTCTAACATCACATGCAGCTGCTTCCTGATAAAGACACCACATGAAGTTCCTGTTGTTTCCTAAATGTTTCCTGAAAAGACAATTGTGAGGATTTTAATGCGAAGCCCGCGATGAAGGAATGCAATGAGTTGGCTTTTGAACTGCTAAAGAGGATTTTCTCATTACAAAGCAGTTTTCAAATGACAAGCGACAATGGCCTAACATTTGATTTAGCATTACAACACAAAAAGGATAAGACCTTAACAATAGTTCAACAATACTCTACAATAAAGACACTTGTGTAATCCTAAACCTGGTGAATATTGAGAAACAACGATTGAAATAATGAAAAATGTGGGCTAGATCTGATTAAAAAATAATAATAATGATAATAACAAAAGGAAGTAGGCTACACAATGCACCGCCCGATGTTAAAATCTATACAAACTTGCACAATGACGCTTTGAATGGAGATTGTGGCTCTGGAAAAACGAGAAAGATTGGATTTATTTTAAAACATGCAACAGAAAAGAAAGTAAAAGCTTGTTTAAGAGTGCACAGATTCCAACTGCCCAAACTTCAGTATTTAACATTTAGTTACGAGATTGCCTGGGGAAGGGGGGGGGGGGGGGTTGTGCAAAGCTTGTTTATTATCAGCTAATAACATCTTAATTAGGAAAACAGTTTAACCACAGAGTGATTCAGAGCAGAGAGTATAAACGCGCGCCCTGGGGTCATTGCACCGGTCAAAACTTTTCGCAGAAGCCGGTGTCGAAAAACAACTGCACTTTTGACTCCTACAACAGGCACTCACTGAGTAGAAACGAAAACACGCACGCACGCTGCCATCATCAACAAATCCAGACCTGTGTCCCCGGACTGAGAGGCCCATAAAGCGGAGAGAAAAGCGCTTTTGTTTGGATCAGCGCGCAGGGCAAAGGAGACACCGCGCACAACTTTTTGGATAGTTTTACGCACGGGTTATAGTTGTGAATAGTTGAAGCGTATGTATTTAAGAAGAGATCACATTCTACGATGCATGTTTGCGCCCAACAGGGAGTCTATGGTTGTGCCTCCGCAGAAGTGGCTACGTGGAAAGAAGGAGAAGCACTTACACAAATAAAACGACACCGCGTTTTGGGTCAGGGCATGGCTCCGTGTGCTCAAGGCGCGTACCCGGCCTGCGGTTCCTCAAAAATGGCAGGGTGTAAAGTGGAAATCCTGGAGTTTAACAGCGGCGCAGTGTGGTGGCGCTTCCTCTATCCCGAGTCCTGACTGTCTTCCAGTGGGACAGGCGCAGCGGATGACCCGTCCCAGTGCTGCGCCGCGTTCAAGAGCGTAGGAGAAAAGGCTACCCAAACAGTCAAGGGTTATAATAGCGTAGGGGTTAAAGCTGGGGTACCTAACTTTCAAACCACAATAACTAGAACTATGTGATAAAATGCATCCTTTATGTAATAAAAATGCATCTTAAAATATTTTTTTTTTCTCGCTCTAGTTTTTACAACAAGAAATGTCACAGCTCTTCCAACTATGCCAACGTTAACATGTTTCTAATACACTACAGCATTTTGTGGTCTGATTTGTTCACCTTTTACTTTAACTGTTTGAAGGAACGAACACACTGTATTCTTTATGAGGAAAGGTTCGTACCCAAACTTTAATGTTATGTGTAACTGTAACTAATATGAATGTAAATGTAATAAATGTATCGCTGTTATACGTGTTGTTGTGATTAAGTTGCAATTCTTGTTTTGTGTTACAGTTCATGTGCATAGTTGGAAACTATTTACAACTTCTATGAAATGTGTTTTCTTCTTATAATACAGTAACTGAATGGGCATCCAGCACATTACAGAGAAAGTGTATTCTTGGAGGCAAACTTTGACAACCTTTATTTCAGAAAAAATATAAAATATATACTAAAACACATTTGCTAATGAACAACGACACAATACATGGTAGAAAATACAAAGTTGTTTTGTTTCTAGTGGAGAATTTTCACTAGATATTTAACTTTGATATTATGCAAATTTAACAGAATGATATAATTTAATATTCTGGAGCTAAATCAAATCACTGCTTGTTGTGTTTGTGTTTATGAACCAGAGCAGGGTCTGGTTAATACTGGAAGTAATCTTTATTTATATAGCGCCTTTCACAGACCAGTCACAATGCACTTTACAATTATGGGACTGTGATGGGAGACCTCTGGGAGCACCAGGTGCCACAGTGGGCGGGTGCAGCTGTAAACTGTGTTTGTGTCCTTAGGCAAGACACTACATCCACCTTGTCTAGCATGAATGATTGGTGGTGGCTGGAGGGGTTAATGGCACAGATTAGTAGAACATTGTGATATAAAACTACTTCCAGAAATCTCGGGTCAACCAACTCTTGCCTTTTTGGAATTAAAGAAATGATTCAATCAAGTCAGCCTTTCATCTTTCACATATTTATCATTATTAAACCATTGGTAAATAATGCAAGTTACACAATCTATACTCCCAGTTCTTGAGCAGTGTTGAACCTCCAAACATATTTTTCCTCTAACACAATAATGACCACACCAAATAGTTATTGCTTTACTTCTCAAAATGTCCAGTTACAAAGTGTTGCCTGATTTCCCAGTGGTTTGGGTGTTTCCAGTCTGCCCTTTAAAATTAGAGTTTGAAAATCCCAGTTTCACGAACGCTGCAGAAACAGACACAAAGAAGGTGCAGGCAAAGAGCAACGATCACCGGTTAGAAATAATTACAAGACCGTCTCCTCTTTGCATCGAGTAAGCATTTTATTGTTTCACATAGGACCTCATGTGTGCTTTCCCAGTGGTTACATTGTAAAAATACAAATACTTTCATGATTTGAAGTTAGTGGCAAATCTTTAGTGACAGGATTTGCTGGCAGCTGTAATAGGGGATGATCTGGTTACAATCTTGCCTGGACTTTGCCTTCGTGTCTATACAAGCCATAGAAATCAAGTGCCATTCTGACTCATAGGCAAGTTTCAGCAAGGTAATAAAACTACACAAATGAAAAGGCAAAAATGTGTATGTTTTACAGTTTAATTTAGTGACACAATAAAAAAGTTGTAAACTCAGGTGAGATGTCATAGAGAATATCAGTGTATTTACATTTCATTGACCCTTTTTGATCCATTTACTTTACAAGATTATTCATAAGAAACTTGAGCTACGGTGGACTTCTGAGTGCACACATCTTACATTAGAACTTTGGTGATAAAAACGTCCAGACTTTATGCTTAAGTAAGTAAGTAAGTAAGTAATGCTTCACACGCTTCAACGTGCTCATCAAACACCGAAAGTCAGTGCTTCGGGCAGAAATCTCTCTCAGTGAGATTTAGAGGAATGTGCACTTCACTTGTAAACCGTACAAAGCCCTTCTGAACAGCAGCTTGACGAATATATGAAAATAAAAAAAACAGGTGGCAGAAATACACTGTTATTGATGAAATATGTTGGGAAAAGCAGTCTCTTTTAAGACATTAACTTCTATGTTGCTTAATGTTTGGTATGAATGATTTGTCGGGTTACAAAGGGCTATTGTTGAGTACACACAGTAGATATATATTTTTGATTATACATATATATAGATATTATTTATATGTTTTCAACGGAACCTTAAATATTGCACGACAAACTGTTGAAGGCAACAGTGAAGCACATAAGGACCAAAGTCGGGTAAATATTACAAAGTCTAAAAGAAAACCCTAGTAACGTTATCTTTGGATTACTTTAGTTGTCATATCTTAATCTGAAATGCTGAGTAAGAAAAAAAAAAAGTTTAAATATGGATAACAACAATGAGTTATTGAACCAAAACAAAGTTGACATCAGTAACAGTCACCTGGTGCTGGTTTGTGCTTGAGGCGTTCACCACAGCAGCCACGGTCTCTGGGGGATCGCTCTCATATGGTGTCATTTTTTACACACTCTTTTCAAACTGTGTGAGATTGAATCACTAATCAATCTACATTTTTAATAACTAAACTATTATCAAAGTAATAATTGATCGTCATGTATAATGGGAAAACGCTGCTCCAGGTCTCACCACTCTCCATGCTTAATGATAACTCCATAAAATACTTAAAATTTAATCTAATTAGACCGGTCACAATATTTTCTATATTTTTCATTATCGTTCTATAACTGATGGATTATGGGCCTCAATATTGGACCTGTACAAGCCTTAATTCTATTGATTATTTTTATGCTGCTCCATCATACTCTGATCAGTGTCATAAAGTAGTTTTGTTATTATTCATTATCGCTACAACAGAGGAAATGTATAGTCTGTCAAAATGAGATATTGTGACAGGCCTAAACCTAAATAAAGTAGTAAGTATTTGTAAGCAAGTTACACCCAACTTGAAAAGGACTATAGAGCAGGGCAATTTGGGGTAAAAAATATATATTCCTCATATTCAATCAATTCATTTTTTTTTTCTATCCAGTTGAAATGTGATTCACACTTATGCGTAGGCAGGAGCACATTAACAGACAACTTAATCAGCTTCATTATCTAGTAAAGCACAAAAAATTGGATAATTGAGATCTCTTGACTTTTGGCACAGCCCTAATAAGGACGCACCAACATTCACTCAGCTCAAATACATAAAAAAAAAAAAGAAAAATTGTCAGGTTTGTGCCTCAAGCTTTCAGTGCACACTCCTCATGAAGTGCAAAAGACCTTGATGGGATTTTTACCAGTTTGTAAAGTTGTAAGTTGTATGTTGTCAAATATCCAAGGGAAAAGTTAAAACATAATAAATGAATAGATGACAAAGGTCCACACACGTGTTGTAGCTGCTTCTGCAAGAGACGACGCTTGTTTTGTCCATTTTCAAATTGAAGATAGCAGGACTTCCAGTTCAACATAAGTCCATGAAATGCCCAGTTTCTCACCAAACAATCTAGCGACCTTTGTTCTTCTTGGCATTTGCCTAAAAAACAGAGTTTTCAAAGTTACAAATATGTATAGTGAAAATGTAGTTTCCGCGAGGATGTAGTGTTGTCTCAATCCTCAATATCGCTCCAGCAAAATGTGGTTTGCCTAGAATGTTTCACAGTATGGATTACATTTTGCATCGACATTAGAGAATGGAAGGGACTTCTACCTAAGTCACATGGCTCAGTTACAATTCATATCTACTGGGGGAATTAAATAATTCAAGATTTTAAGCAGGAAAAACATCCAAAGTGAAAAAAGAGACAGTAAGCAATAGGGTGGGAACCTAACGGTACCTCACGATACGAAGCGATACAAAGCTCACGATAACGATTATATTACGATATGACGATTATCGATATATTGGTCAGCAATATACCGTATGCCAATATATGGCATACATAAAATAGAAAAATGTGAGGTGAAAAAAATCACTTTATTTCATTATAAATGGAATGGAGATGTGTAATGTAGCCATAGATTAAGAATTGATACTAATTAGAAAAAAAAATATTGAAAATGTCTTTTTTTTTTTTTTTCAAAATGGATACTTGGCAAATGCATATCGATAATCGATTGCTGGAGAAAGTATTGTGATATATCGAAAAATTGATATATCGTCACACTCCTAGTAAGCAAGATCTGTTTGGCCAGGCCCATGGTCAACATGTACATATCAAATTATTAGAATAATTAATAAAAAACTTGAATGCTGATCTATTCTCTATTAATAATCATTATCTTCATGTACCCAATAAGAATTAAGAATTGGCATCACATCAGTCTTTCCTTTAGGTTGTGAGTTTCTTTGGTGAAATCAGGCTGGGTTTTGTAGTAGTGAGAAATAGGAGCTAGAAGATGCAGACGTGTCTGAATGCTTAGACTGCATTGGTAGAACATTTATTAAAATTAGTACGAGCAAAAACTATTCAGTTCCTTTAAATAATGTATAAATTTACACCATGCTGGAGTACATTCCAAGCAAAAAAATAACATCTCAAGGCAACAGCTTTTCCATGGCAGAAATGTTGGATAATGCACCTTTATGGATACAACACTAGTAAAACCAGAATAGTATATTGGCATGGATTTGTAAATCAAATTGGTCCACACATTGTCAGACATTAGAATGATTAGTCTTGTGTAGGCTCAACCAGTGACTGGACGTGACTGGGCATTACTGCTGTATTTGAAATGCTCATTGTGAAACATGACGAGGCTTGAAACTAACAAAATAAGCAGTTTCAGCAGGCGTGTCCCGTCCTGTGGAGTCCGAGAAGCCCTCATCACGCCACGCACATGCAGTGACACGCGCACTAAACGGCCCCTACTTTAGCATAATGTCTTTTTCAGACGCCCAGCAGGTGCTTTAGCCATCAGAGCATCACACGATCCCAGCACTGCTCTAGGAATAACTAACTGCCTTACATTACCCAAGCTAACATTACCTTTTCACTCTTTTACTTTGAATGGGATTGGAGAAGCTAACACTAGGACATATGGACATTTCAGAGGTAAACCAAGGGCAGAGTTAGGCTTATCCACTAATTATCCTAACACTGTCTACTAGTGATTATATACACAGATCATCTCCTCTGATACAGACACGGCACTTACAGTAGGTTCGCTTAGCACGTGAAAGGTGCGTTAACACTGGTCCTAATATAGCCCCATACAGTAAGCAGATTCTCCAACACGTATGTCAAAATATTTATTTATAAAAAGAGTTTTCTGTGTCCAAAATGTGTTTAAAACTTTTGCATCTGTGGTTACTTGTCAATCAGTCATGTTTTGATTTGATTGAACCACAACTGGACATTAGGTAGAGAAATGTCCAGAGAAAGGTAGAGAAGTATTGCTGATACTCAAATATTACTAATAATTGTAATCACAGGGTTAAAAACTCAGTGCAGATTGGTACATGAAAATAACAGATAGTACTCTAATCAATACTAATAATAATCATCATTAGATAGTATTTTAATGAGCCATTTATGATGGTGTGCTTCTACTTAATGTGGACGAATATATAACTTTTTTAAACACAGAGACTGAACAACACCTTTCTTGAGCAATAAAAACAAGTCGAACGGAAATACTAAGGCTGTATATAAAAAGACCCTGAAGGCCATAATATGCTTTAAACAGCAGCTGAGGCTAACAGGAAGCCAGTGAATTACCTTGCTGCCCAGTTTGAGTGTGTCGATCTCCTCCCTCTGTTTGCTCAGCGTCTCGTTCATGCTGCACAGGTGGTCACTCATCATGCTCAGCTGGTCCTCGTAGCTCCTCTTGGTGGTCGTCAGCTCGTCCTGCAGTGAAACATGCGCTAAAGTTATTGTAAAATAAGAAATATTGTGGGGTAATGTATAAATAAACATAATGATAAACATTATATTGACAATAATTACTTTGGAAATTAAAATATTAAAAATGTCTTTGTTTTGTTTTTTCAATGGAGATATTTTGAAGGCTATTATGCTAAATTCCCTTTGATCCATCCACACTAATATCAGGAACAAACATGTGACTACAACCCTTCTGTCTAAAAGCTGTCCACAAACCCTCTTATGTGATGCTCAGAGCAGGTTTCTGCCTTTAAAAAAATGCCAATAAAATATATCACATGCCTGTGGTTGCAGCCAAACATTTTCAAACTAGAGTAAAAAATAAAAAAAATAAAAAAATCCTCCCTCTAGTGGTAGCATGGGGAGCTACGGGTAGAAACCTTTTTTCCACCCACACTTGTTTCACCATATATTTTCTATTTAAGATATTGTTTCACATTCTAAACCATGACATGACAAAGAAAATTTGACTAGCCAAACAGAATGCATAACATTTATTGTTAAAGTAAAATATAAAACAAGTAATCTTTATAACACCCATTTCACAGACCCAGAAACTCTGCGCATTAAAGAGTGGATAAAGAAATAAATCCTTTTGGCCGTAGAAATTGGGTAAATTACTGTAAAATCCAAAATGTCGTGATCAAATCAAAAGCACACAGTTCAAAAGAACACCGAATGGAGAGATCCCAGACAGATACCAGACGGCTTTGTTACTTTGTTCGTCATATCATATCATATAAAGTTTGAGATTAAGGAAAAGGTGTAAAGAAAAGGAGCAAAGGGAAAGTAGATGAGCTACCACTTTGCTTTTAGTATGTGCTTGGATTTAAATCTTCCATTGAGACAGATTGTTTTCTGCCTTTGTTTTTCTACAAATATTCCAATTTGGTTTTTAACTAAAAATGTGGACATGATTGTACCAGAAGTTCCTGCTATTTGTGTGGATGGAGCTATAGATCTCCAGGTTTGAAGAAGGAACTATGTTATAAAGTGGTAAATTATTCAGGAAATACGATAATACACACTGCACACACAACAGTACCTGTAACCGCGTGACGTTCTGGTTGGACACTTTCACTTCTTCAGCCAGTGCTTCCCGTGATTTTTCAGCGAGAGCCAATCTCTTTGCTAAAGCACGGCACTGTCAAAATGAGAAAATAAAAACTACTGTATAACAGATGAAACCCCTTTTTGCATGGCACTTTTTTCCCCATTTCAGAAATCAGTTTGTAAAATGCAGTTACACCGGAGATAACAATCTTTAACTCAATAATTGATCAACCCAAAATGATAATAGATTTATGCTGAGATATATTGATTTAGATTTCCCAGGTCAAATCAGCAGCTGGTGTATTCTTAATTAATACAATGTGATGTGAGCAGATAGAAGTGTGTTTCTGGTCACCTCTGAGTGGAAGTGCACAGCTTTACTGTCGGAGATCTGAAGCTGCGTGGTGAGCTCTCCAACTCTGGTCATGTAGTGGGTTTTTATGAGCTGCTCTCTGGACTCCTCGTCTCCCACCTGGTAAGGCAAGTTAAGGTTTATTTATACAGCACATTTCGTGTAAAAGGCAGTTCTAAGTGCTGCACAAGAAAGAACAATGGCAAAACAAACATGCAAAATAATAAATGAAAGTAAAAGTAATGAGAATAGCCCAAACTCTCAGATATACCCTGAGCTTGTAAAACAAAAGTGCATGGTATATAATATAAATATATATATTTAAATTCATTAATTTATCCAAGTTATAAGCACATACGCTTTTTATTTTTATTTTTTATTCTTCAATGAACTTTTTGTATTCATTCATAAAACAGAACTTGAAAACTCACATGATCTACTGAAGGTGTCGTGCACAGCATACCGACCTGAGCACACAAAAAGAAAACGTGTCACAAGATGGAGGATTTTACACATATTTAATCACATTTGACAAAAAAGTCTTAAACTTGGGTTCCTAATTTTTCAAGCTGCAAAACGGAAGTCTGTCAACTGTTCCCAATATAGACATAAACTATTAAATTTCTTTTAACTGTAAAGTAAGGCTTGTTTATTTGTATAGCAATATAAATGATGACATATATACTTTTGGGGTCCATGTACTCTCACCTCAAATGTGGGCAGGCCTTTCCTTCAAAGTTAGCATAGAATAAGCGTAAATTATACACGGATACAATCATATCATACACTAACATGAAGAAAAGCCACATCTACTTTTTGGCAAAATCTTTTGGTCAAAAGACAAGTAAAATATCAAATTAACATCTCAAACTAATGCCTAACTTATCTAAATTTCAGATTAAATCTATGTTCTGGATATGCCAACTATAATTTTTATTTTATTTTTAACTCATTGTTATTACAACAATGAACTGTGTAACAAACCACAAACTAAACCACTTAAAACACAGCCACCTAAAGCTGCAGACTCAGTGATGTCTCTGTCCTGACTTGCCCCTTTATTGCCGTTCTGCCTTCTCAGCACATTCATGAACATCCAAGTTTCATTAAGGGAAAACCTGCTCAGCATGGCCTCAAAAGAATGCAGACACCAACTTTGAAGCACTGAGACACGCCACTCACGACAGAAACAAAAAATCCATAATCTATGTAATTATCATCAGTTACCTTAGCAGCGAGTAGTTTGCTTTTGGCATGATTATTTACGTCATTGTGCCAGCTATTGTATATCCCTAATTTACTGTCCATTAATAGGTTTTGATTTTATATCAGGAAACATGTCTCTTTTTAAGCCAGCTGCTGATACACTTACTCAGCAGATTTAAATTGTTTTAAAGCATTTTAAACTAATGTTGTATCGAGCATTTTTAAAGGTTTTACCAAGAGCTCACATCCAGTTCAATTGAATCAGAAATGTAGAATTCAAAAAGGTTAAAACAAGATAGAGCTGGACTGGACATGGATACTTGTTTTTGTATGACCCTCTGACATAATAATTGGTCTAGTCAAAGTGAATCAGACCAACAAGTGTGAATGTGGCCTTAGTTGAGAAGCTGATGTTTAACATTAACCATCAACATCCAGTGAAAACAGAGAGTACTATAGACAGATCGAGTCAGTGCCATTACTGTACCAAGCTGGTGCATAATGTGGCCTCCTTCTCTGTTGGTTGCAGCCCAATCTCTTGTTCCTGATGGTTTTGTGTTTGTGAGTTCAGCTTTCCCCCGAGCGCCGCCGTCAGTTGTGCTTCCAGCTCTGAAATGCGTTGATTTTCTTTTTCTAATCGCACTTTGCCGAGTTGAGCCTCCAGAAGCCAGTGCTCCTTCTCCTGCTCAAGACGAGCCATCTTCTCCAGGCTCTGCTGCACCTGTTCACGATCATAAGATGATCAGTATTAAGTGAGAATTATTAAAACAATACTGCAGTTGAAATTCCATAAATCTTGGCAATACATACAAAATTTGTATTTGCAATTTATCAAATACATTTTTCAAATGCAATGAAATATCCCAATAGTGTTAAATACATAATGTAGCCTGCAGACAGAGTATCTTGTTGAAGGTTTATAGTTTGATTCCTTTACAGCCTTCTACATTGCCTTGATGACTGGTTTGGGATTAAAATATGCAAAAATATAAAACTAGTCACTGAACCTTCAACATTATTATAGTTTAGCCTCTTGCCTGTTGTGCCAGCCCTTCTCTGCTTTCCGTGGAGCTGGTGAGGACCCGCCGATTGGACAAAGCCTCTTTATAAGGAACAGACTGCGGCTGTGGCTGTAAAAACAAACTTGAGTTAAGTCTAGAAAATACACATATTTCTTTTTATGCTGGAGCACCTTTCTGATGGCCTCCATGTATGCAGCTGCCTTCTTCTTGTGAGCCAACATCGTCTCTGCTTGTAAAGGGTTGAGAGCGACACTGCCTTTTGAGCCATATCCTGAAGATGTGAAGAAGTCAAGGTTGTTGCTGAAGAATGTGGCGATCTGTAAAAACAAGATTTTCTGTTTAATCCAACCTACTCCCTGCTGCTGTTGTGTAGACAAATTAAATATCTGTTTAGTGCTGGAGTTATCTAGCAGCTGAAAAGTCAGTCTTATTATCTGTATCAGATCATTTGTTTTTGCAGCATGTACTAGACACCACAATCACACTGTGATAGCCGATTTATCTGTATTACAATAATAATGCTTTATCTTTGGTGTGACTGGGGAGCAGCTGCAGAAATAGTGATTTGGTCGGTGTCTTTGAATTTTTAAATGCTACCCACCTGAGTCCTGGTGAACTCAGTTAAGCCATTATTAAATGAAAAAAACAAAAATACAGGGAATTAAGTCCAAGTGCTGCTCGCCCCCTGCTGGTCATACCTTTCCAGTGACAATGGTGAGCGAGCTCAGAGAGCCCACCAGGCACTCTGTTGTGGTGCAGAGCTTCTGAGTGACAGTGGGCAGCTCCTGCTCTAAGGCTGCCTTCTGGTTGTAGTGCTTAGACATCTCTGAACAATCAAAAGTATGAAGGTTTATCATCAATCATTCTACCAATGTATACACCATTTTTTAGATATGAACGGATGGATGCTTCAGCAAAAATTATACCAGTCAGTGAGAATTCTGAAGACAACAGGAGTACAATATTTTTTTATTCCTGGGTTTCAAACTGATGAAGAATGAGAACAGGCATCACCACTTGGTGTTTTTGAAAACACACTGATGTTAGTGGTTTAATCACGATTTATAAGATCCACACTTTTGAGTTACACACGAAAATATAAATTCACCACTTGTATAAATAAACCAGGGTTTGCTTCACTCACCTTTCACAGCATCATGGAGGCTGTGGAGGAAAGCAGCCAGTTGAGTATAAACAGCAGAGGTGCTGCTTGGTGGCAGGGCATCCTGCTCAAGACCTGAGACAGAGGCAAAAACTGATGTTTCTGTTGATGTTTCTACATATTAATATATACCTATTAAAGACATACTTGGTAAGGCAAGAAGGTTTATATAGTTTTGTAATTTGTCAAATATTGAGGCTAATTTTTTCATGTCACACTGTAGCTCCTGGTTTTTTGCAGCCAGTGCTGCAGTACAAAGAGGAGCGTCACACTCTTCTTCGAAGCTGAAATCAGAAAATAGGAAATACATTCCAGTGATCACTATGCTGCTCTGAACTCTAGCAGCCAGGATACTGACCTTTTCAACTGGTAGGGAAGGATCTTCTGTAAAAAACATGTGTAGGAGGAGAAATGGTCTGCAAAGGGCTTCAGCTGGAGCACAGTTTCCTGTATAACAAACACACAATACCACTTAAACATGACAGCTGCAGAAAACATTGATATTTGACATGTTGTAATCACCAGAACTGTGACAGAGTCCTCTGTTATGCTTTGATGCAACTGCAGAAAACTCTCCTCCAGGGGGCGCACATAGGCTGCATTTTCATGGAGGTACTGGGAAAACTGAACAAGTCATGTAAGCGTTAGCTTGGAAGAATAACTCTCAAACAAATGGAATAATCATCGGTTCTCACTTTCTGATTTATTGGAGAAATAGGTTCAATGGATGAATCCAAAGGGTAAATGTGGACCCGTTGTTCTGTGTATGAGTGAAAATTCAACAGAGCCGCCACCAGGTCCTGAATGAAGCTCAAGGCTTGTCCTGCGACGTCCCGTGCCTTTAGCTAAATGAAAAACAACACAAAAAACAACACACAACAATAAACACAATACATATACACATACAGTATATCGTGCATCAAGTGTATGGTCCAACCTGGTTCCGTCGATTGTGTGGAGGCACATTTAGGCTGTTATAGTCATTATATTCTGAAGGATAAAACACAGAAACGTTATGAACAGCACTATACAGATTACATTACGTGTTTATTTTGACTGATACTCACTGGTGTCGTTGAAGGGCACTTTCTCCTGAATAACACTAGTGCTCTGTTTCACTTGTCTGTTAAGTTCAGTTTGGCATCGTCTCAATTGCTGTTGACTAAAAGCAAACAAAAAATTTACAAGTCATTGTAAAAGGAAAATGATGCATTGGCTCTTATAATGAGAACAAACTGATGTTGTTTACCATTCTTCTGTCCTCAACCTGCACTCCTTTGCTTCTCGCTCCAATGTTTGTACTTTTAGCTAAGAAAACAGACGACACAGGCTCAATAAAAACACAATAGCTCTATAATTTTGAGGCATTTTGTAGTTACTTCTAATCGCGCCTTGTCACTTTGCAGTTTCTCTGTGTTTTCCATGTATTTGCTGGTGAGCCCCTCCACAACAGCCTGGTGCTCGTGTGAAGCTCTCTCCAGCTCCAACAGCCGTGCCCTGAGTTCAGCCTCTTGTCTTTTGTGCTGCTCATCAGCTTCATAAAACTGGAGCAGAGGATGCATGTGTGAGATGAATAAACAACGACAGCAGCAGACGAGTTGCATGAAGTGTATCTACTTGTATATGGAGTCTCTCATTCTCTTGGATCTTCTTCTGCAGGTCCTCGTCAAACACGTTCTGTGTCTGCAAACCGTGTTGAGATGGAGAGTCTGCTTTGTTCTGCACAAAACAATTGATGAAAAAATCCATATCAAGTTATGTGATATGAATTAAGGTTGTACTTAATTGTTGAACGCATGTGGGGTCATGGCTGCAGCTATTCGTTATTTTAGTAATCAAATAAAAAAATAAAAAATATCTTATCGAGTAAGCAAGTACTCCATTATTTAAGACACAACATGTCAAAGTAACGGTCGCTCAGTTTCCCAAAGTTTTAAGATACAACAAATTTGATTAATTTAATCAACATAATTGGAATCAAATTGTGTTTTGTTTGAATAATTGTTTCAGCACCATTTGTGGTGAAATTTTTCTTGCCACAGCATGATACAATTTTTTGGCTATTGTGTGAAGTACTGCACAAATGGAGAAAGAAACAGTAGTAAATTGAGGAGCATACAGTCTCCATCAGGTCTTTTGTGGTTACCTTCCCCTTTTTGCCTTTAGCTTCACTCGTGACCAGTTCCTCCTGGAGGAGCTCCACTCTTTTTGCCAACTGTTGGTTTCTGAAGCTCAGGCTGTCCATCTCCTGCTCCTGCTTACGCAAAGTTTGGTCTCTCTGCTTCAGTTGTTCCTAAAAGACCAACAGTAAGAATCATTTAAAGACCTCTATGCAATGCAATAACATAATGTGGATTGAAAATTAAATTGATTGAAAATAAATGTATTTTACCTTCATTGAAGCAGAGTTTGCCTGTTCATCAACAACCGCCTTTTTGAGCACTTGATTTTGGGCACGGAGCTACAAAAATGTGGCAAAGTAGCAAAATTGATAAAAATTAAAAACAAAAAATAGTGAAGTACAAACTCATCAGTGAAGCATGGGTGTGATGAAAATACAAAAGGCTATTCATTGCAGTGTTTGATCAACTGAAAAACTTATTTTAAGATAAAGTTTCAATGTTAACCAGATTAATATGAAGGAAAGATTGTATGCACATCAAAGGCTTTATTTTCTTGAAGTTAAGAGACTTTGTTAGACCACAGTTTGTGCAAAGAGAGTTACACAGTCAGCATTTCCTCTACAGCTCAGCGAAGGACAGGAAGCTGCTTAGAACATCAGCTGACAGACACATGCAGCACCAGATTTTATGATGCATATAATGTAAGTGTCAATCATTTATGAATACGGCTCTTTGTCTTTTAGGGAGTACCATGTCAACACAACCATATTACGATTTTCACAACAAGGAAACATTCAAATACGCACCTTGGAATACTCCTGAGCCAGTTTGCTGTACTTTGTTTGGAGATCCGTCACGTTGGCCATTTTTGCTACACAAAAGTCTTCCACAAGCTGTCACAATGAAATGACCAGCACGAAGTACCCAGGCAAACCTGTCAAACCCCCTCTTCACAACATAGGACAGCGTCTTCTTGGCTTCCTGTCAATAGCTCGCTAACACAACACAACTTCCCATTACGTTGGCTATCAGAGTTTGCTGTAGACACATTGTAATAAACTACTCTTTAACGTATCAAAAGAAAAAGGCTGGGAACCGATTTGGGCAAAACCGGATGTTATTCTCTAATGACAGCGAATTAATTAGCGTTATTAGCTAGCTGTGACTGAGCATAGGAGCTAACAGCGAACCGCTACTTGTCAAAACAAACCCAGTGAAGCCTCCAACAAGCCGCCAGGAGCCGAGAAATGCTAAACAAAGACTTATTCAGAGGCTAAATCTACACAGCAGAAAATATATCCCGCTGACAAATGTTAAAATGGTGATTGTTTGGCCGCAGCAGCCTAAGCTCACAGACATAAGCGCCGCGGGGTGACAGGTTAACAGAGGAAAGTGATCAGTGGTTTTAGGAGTGCGCCCTCTGGTGTGTGGAGAGCAGACTGCAGTACATACAAGGAAATCGATACATAAAAAAATCCAGGACAATATTTATGTTGTCAAATGTACTGCTTTAATTCTACTACTTCATTACGTTTTAGCCATAGTTTTAGTAAAAAAATAAAAAATAAAAAAGAGTTTCACGGTCTGTGTTTTAAATACTGGTGACCTCATTTCTGTTTGTTTCACTTTTGTACCTGTGAGAGATACTAAACACAGTATTAAAGCTGAACATCTACATTCTCAAACTGATTAAGCAGCAGCACAGATCAGGCAGAGGGCTAAGGGCTGCCAAGAGCCACAAGTAGAGACTACAACAACATCACCCCCTTTAGAAATATATAATATTCTTATTTGTATTTTATTTTTACAGCTGGGTGCTGCTAATGTATGATTAGTTTACAGATGGCACAGGTGATAATAAGTAATAGTAGCTATTTAATTGTATATAATTGTGAGAGTGAACATAAAAGTACTTTGACGGTTTCGTTTTTACTATTTACATTCTATGGTTTTTAGGGGTTTAGGGGTGGTGATATTCCCACCAGTAGATGGCAGTAGTGTGTATTCTACAAAAGTCTTCCCCCTGCATCCTTTTTCACTCTGACCCCCCATGGTCTGACCTGACGCACACTTCCTCCTTGTCCCTCCCTACTCCCAGGTACTCTTTGATTGTCCTGCCTTTCAATATTTATTGTTTTACAGTTTTTAAAAAGTGTTGTGCCTGTTCAGTGTAGTGGTGAGCAGATGGCCCACAATGAAGGAAAGGCTATAGCTCTCCGCCTGTGGTTTAACTTTACTTTTGCAAAATCTTCACCTAATTATCTAGAAAGAAATGTATAAAAAGCAAATCACATGGCTAAATGCTACAGGCCCCAACATCGGAGTAGAGGACGCTGTTATCTACTTACTGCAGCGGACGCTCTCCCACACCGGGAGCGCTGTGAGGGTCAGGTTTTTTTACTTCTCCAATGCTTTCAACACCATCAGACCGGCACTGCTGCGGGGGAAGATGGAGGACGCGGGAGTGGACAGTAGCCTCAATGCATGGACCATCAACTACCTCTCAGACCGACCACAGTACGTGCGGCTGCGCAGTACTGGGGCCCCTCAGGGCACTGTCCTCTCACCGTTTCTCTTCACCATCTACACTTCAGACTTCACACACGACACACACAGCTGTCACCTGCAGAAGTTCTCAGACGACTCCGCCATCGCGGGCTGTGTGTCTGGGGGGAACAAACTGGAATATCGGTCGGTTATCACAGACTTTGTCGACTGGTTTCAGCGCAACCACTTGTGCTTGAGCACCAGTAAGACCAAGTAAATGGTCATCGACTTCAGGAGAAAACCACTTTCCCACACACCGCTGAACATCCAGTGGGAGGACATTGAGCTGGTGGACAGCTTCAAGTACCTGGATGTTCACATTAACAATAAACTGGACTGGTTCCATAACACCAACGCCCTGTACAAGAAGGGCCGAAGTTCCAAACTTCTTTCTGAGGAGGCTGAGGTCCTTCGGAGTGAGCAGGTCTCTGCTCAGGTCTTTTTATGACTCTGTGGTAGCTTCAGCCATACACTACTCTGCCGTGTGCTGGGCCCCGGGCAGCACAGAGCGGGACAGGAGCAGACTGAACAAGCTGGTCAGGAGGCCCAGCTCCACTCTGGGCTGCCCCCTGGACTCTGTGGATGAGGTGAGGGACAGGAGGGTGCTAGTCAAAGTCACCTCCATCATGAACAATACCTCCCACTGCGCAGGAGTAGTGTAGTGGAGCTGAGGAGCTCCTTCAGTGGAAGACTGAGTCCCTCTCAGTGCAAGAAGGAGCGCTACCGCAGGGCCTTTATCCCCACCGCTGTCAGACCCTACAATAAGTCACTTTAAGTCACTAATGACCTGCCTGCACTAGGACTGAAAAACCAGCACAGCTACGGTGCACAGACTATATTTTTAACCTTTGACATGTTGGCACACTTCTTTTTTCAAAATCTATGCCAAATGTGACATCTATATTTCTCCATTGTGAGATCAACAAAGTCAATAAAGCTTATCTTAATAATTTTACTTCCTGGTTCTAAATTATGACATCACATGGGAGATGTTGAGTGCCTATAATAACAGTGTAATTAACGTTGTCAAAACCATAGTGTACTTCAGTGTACCTCCAATGTACATGATAAATATATGTATACTTTGGTTTAGTAAACAATGTACTGTACAAATGTGTTTATAGTATGATGTCAAACTTTATGTTTAACTAAGAATCTCCTTCCTGTGATTATATCAGTTTTCAAAAGCTGGTCTACTTCCTGTAAATTATTGAAAAGTAATGAATATTTCTTACAAACTGTTGTTTAACCTATGTAAAACTATCATTTATATTTTAAAAGGGTGTTGTTTCACCAAAGAAAGTCATGCATGCTTATTTGTCTTTTATGTCCTATAACATAGATAAATATTGACTATGATACTCTGATTGCCAGAAGCTCGTTTCCGACTGTTGCAAATACCCTTAACAAAAGTAAAATTGAGGGTAGGTTGACGTAAGCTGACTTCCCCCTCCTACAGCCTATGTGACCCGTTTAGCCAGGAAGTGAAATGACATGTTGTTAATGCACCCATTACAGTTCCAATCCGTAGATTAATGCATCCTAATCCTCTATGATCCACCAGGCCGCAGTTATCAGAATAATGTCTCTTGGTTAGAGGGTGGTGTCGGTGCATTAGCATGCATCATATAGGCTTGAGAGAATGAGATAGAACAAAGACATATAGATGGCAAGCTCACTTTTACTCATCTTAAATGCACACGATCGAAAAACAAACTCAACTGAGCCACAGCTCCAGCATTGTCTGGTTGCCTGGTAACTGCCGGCGTGGCGTGGGGCCGAAGGAGGGGGAGGAGATGGGGGGAGGTGATGCTGCTCTGATTTCAGCAGAATCGAGGCCCCCCCCTCTCCATCCACACAGGACTCTATTGAACAATAGAGAGTGCCAATGGGCCTGAGGCAGTCAGACGAGCCCTTGTTCAGGGTCACACTGTGTTCAGCCCACAGTCCTCCATGACTAATTAACTTATGTCGTCAGGACATCAGATGCTGCATCCATCTCAGGAATCCACGTTTGTGAGGTGCGCCCTGGCAGTTTTCCATGTTCCTACAATCAAAAGACATGCAGAAGAGGAAGGGCTGTGTGAGTTGTACCACACTTCCTGTGGCCAGCTTGTGCAGAGAAAACAGAAGTGAACTGCTGCACTTGTGGGAAATATCAGCCAGCTGCAACATGGCACTATGAAAGCTGAGAGACAGCTACTCCAATCTCTGTCCCAGACTGTTAATCTGGAGGCTGTCACAGCAGGTGTTGACGGTGATCAAAAATGTAACTTGACTGTGACATAAATCCCAAATTATAAGGAAAATCATTTTACTCGTTTCACACATGTGATTACATGAAAGCAATTTCAGATGCAACAGAAGTAACAAGAACAGGTTTTTATTAATATTTTGTAATACCATATATAATGCAATTGCATATCTTTGGCGAAAATAAATCTTATAAACATTTTATCAACAGAGGTTAGCATACAAAAACCAAAAGGTTGTGTCATTCAACAGACATGGCAGACAACAGACACAGACTGATACTGGGTTGGCAGCTTCGTCCAATGCAACAAAATATACATCATCACATTAAGTGACTGCAGAACATAATATAAAAATGAATGGTGTTTGTTGAGCAAGTGGTTGTATTTGATTTTGCAATTTTTATGCTTAATGGTCAACCATTAATTTACCACATTTTGGCAAGTGCTACTGTCAAAAAATGTGCACAGCTTACATGTTTCAATAATTAAGCTAAAAAAAGGGTAACTAAGCAGCAGCTTTTTAACAGAGTTTCAGATTTTTAGCATTGATAATTCCACATCCAACAGGATGCATTTGTGGCAGTTTTCTTGAATAAAAAGGTAGAGCTAATCTTTTGACTAGAATCTTAACACCTAACAAAAATCATTAAATTATCACTCAACAAAAGTCTACAGTACACAGGGAAAGCATCTATCTAAAATTTGATACCCCAGCTGTATATCCATTTGGCAACAAAAGGAATCAGGATAAAGTGTTAATTGACAGTTCTATCAAGAAAAGGACAACAAACAACATAAAAAACATGGCAGTCATGGATAAAATGAAATATAAATTACATTGGCAAAAAACTTGATCACTACCATCATAGTGAAGGAAAAGGCGTATTGCTGTAAAATCAAAACTGAAACATTTTATGTGCCTTCTAAACAAGATTCAGCTTTTAAAGTTTCATAAATTAACGTCTTAAATAAGAAGATGATTAAAGAACAATCAATTTGTTCTTTTTCACAGCTAAACAAGACCAGTGTTTTTGAAAATTATTGATAGCTGCAGAAAGAAAAAGCTTAAGTTACAGCCCTGAGCCCTTCTCTCCCATTGGCTGCTTAAACAATTAAAATAATTGCAGTAAAGAAAAAAAAAGAAAACGTTTGTCTGAATCACAACACCACAGTGATGGCAGGAAATACAGTGACAATGACCCCTGATGAACCTTGAACATTAACACAGTGGCACATGGAACTGATGGCACCTTTCATGCTAAAACATGTGGTTTGTTTCCATTTTGACCCAAGGGGAAGAAGCGATGTGTGATTTCCATTGTTTTTCAGTTGTATGTGCTCATGACATATTCTACAGGTGCTGAAAATGAGGATTGTGGCATTTACTCTAGTGGCTCGCAACTTCCCCTCTGTGAACTGCATGCAATCAGCTGACAACAAACACTCCATATCACAGCTTGAGTGGAGAGCTTCCTTATTTTGTTCAGGGAGGAAGAGCAGAGGCCAAACATCGGTGGCTCATCCAAACTGTGCAACACTAGGCTGGTTTAAACAACTCACCAGTCCAGAAGGTTTTGTCTATGAATGAATTATAGGACAAAAGTCGTGGTAGAGGATTGGGCTTTTCAGGTTTATATTCTGGATCATTTGTGTTGGATAGGTGCTGACTGATTACATGCGCTCTTACGTGAAACGGCTTAGTCCCATCACATAGCTGTGAAAACGCAATAAAATGCCAGAATACTTTTTAGATTTATACCTGGTTAAGCATGCAACACGTACACACAAACAAACAGATCACCTACAGTTGAAAGAAAGTGAACATACACTGGCCCATTTATTTGGATTGGGCTAGGGTATGTAAAACTTATAATGTCAACTGCGTGTCACAAACATCTGGCACTTCACAGAATCGATGTTGCAAACTAAACTAAATAACATGTGGATCTATGATTTGGACTTGCCAACTAACGACATACTGATGAATTACACTGAACTGTAGGGGTGAGCAATTATGAATGAAACCATTTTCATTTAAAAGAGCACTGTGATGGTCACGTAAGACTGAGTGGAGTAGAAGACTTTGCAAATCAATTTGGCAGTGGCAAAGTAATACCAATCATAATTCGGTATAAAAATGTGCCAAGAATAATACTACTCCAGTCATCTTAAAGTAAACTCAACATAAATACTCAACTCAAAATGCCACCAGTATATAGAAAAAGTTAGGTGTGGTGGATGGTAATTATTGCATCTCTCCTACGAGGATTCAAAAGGTCAAAACTCTCAAAAACAGTGGCATCTTTAGCACAAAAAGAAGAATCTGCTCACACCAGAGGTTAGGTTTTGTCTGTTACAAACATGCACTCATTCGCGTCTTAAATAGATTCACTTGGAAGAGGATACAGGTTTTGAGGAGGAAGCATGCAACGCTTTGACTTAGAAAAAGTCCAGTTTTCTTCTTTCAAATTGTCATAGTCTTGTAGTCCATCAGAAGCAGGCAGGCCATTTTGGATTAATGTCATCTCCAATGTCCCAACACTCGCCCCTCCCCCCCAATGAAGTTCGCCCCGAGTTACTGAAGTCTCTATATGGCTTTGCTCTCCTGTGTGAACTGTGATACTATTGCCGTTTGTGTGATGGACAGACTATCCCAAACAAGACAGAGGCGGAACATGGCAGGTGAGCATTGTAGGGCTGCACGATTTTACAGAAATATCTAAGTTGAGATTTTTCAGATACACTGCGATCACGATTCAATCATGATTCGGTTCGATATTCTTGTTATGTTCAAAGGGCACTAGAAGAAATCCAATTTGAGGGATAAGAGAAACCTGGCAAAATACCACTGTGCTTAAAAAAAAAAGTTTGATAAGACTTTTCCATTAGCGGATATAAAACAGTCAAAATGAACTAAAATCATGTGAAATACTACCTTGTTTAGGCCCGTAATATCCTATGGTTTTATGTCTCCAAGCCTGTTTCAGAGCTCTTAATACAGGATAGACAGTCGTTGCCGTTTGTAAAGGAAATAATTAAATCTAAAAGGTGCGTCTTGACTGTCTCATTCACTTTAACTTGAACAATTTTGGTTCACTTAGACTGAGAACGCTTCAAAAGATATCTTGGGTGACTAGATCCATGTTTACTTGTTTGATGGTTTTACATACACGAATAAAGCACTGTTGCTCTAAAGTGAACCAGAATTAGTCAATTTGAAGTGAACCGGACCAAGTGTGGACGTGCCCTTAATCATTTCAGGCTCTGCGATTGGCTGAATGCGGCTACTAAAATTGCGAGGTTGATTACGATTAATTGTGCAGCCCTAAGAAGGAGGCACGCAGGACAGGGGGTAGAGGCCAGGGATCACACAGGAGGTGGAGTCTGATGGATAAAAAAAAAAAAGCAGAGAAATCTTATTTTCGATGGTGTTTTGTGCTCTTGCGTTTGGAGCCCTCTGTGCAGCTGCGGATCCCGGCCAAATGTAGCAGCGAGCCGGCGGCCTCCTTTAGCTCCTCGTCCAGCTCCACCTTGATCTCGTGGCGTGCCCGTTTGCTCATGGGCCACTTGATGGGGGCCGGGCGGCGGGGGAGCGACAGCTGCATTCCCTTGTCGTCCCACAGGTCCATGTCCTCCTCGCTGTGGAAGCCCTCGCTGCCCGCACGCACAGACTGGGAGCGATCGCAGCCGTCTTCATCCAGAGAAGATAGCGAGGAGGAGGAGGAGCGCGAGGAGCACCGCTGAAGGGCCATGCTGCTGTAGTTGTGGTCCTGCTTCGGGTCACTGCTTACCAGCACCGAGTCCGGGCGGGACAGGTCCAGAGGGACGTCCGAGTTACCTGAGCGGAGAAGGTGACGCAATAAATAAAGAGATACATGATCAGTAGTTTTACCATAGATTAGGGCTGCAACTGATGGCTATTTTAGAAGCTAGCTGTTTTCTTCATAGTCGACAATGAGAAAAAAGAAAATAGGGTCACTAAAGGTTTCTCCTTGGTTCTACATTTATGAGATGCATACAGTTTAGTGCTTAAGAGTTTACACACCCAGCCAGACATTTTATTGTTTTGGCCATATCTTGATAACAAGTTATGGCATAAAATTGAGAACATAAATAGGCTATTTTTGCTACTCACTGTGTTGTGTGAAGCCATATAGTGTCAAATAAACGTTTTTTTTATATTTTCAAATATAACTTAATTGAACTGGTCTGGTGAGATCTCAAATGTGTAGTTGATGCAAGGTGGCCCTGGAACTATCAGGAACTGGATTTTTTGCAAAAAAGAATGGGCAGGTTTACCATCAGAGGATAAAAATCAAACAATTCTGCCTGAGTGTGTAAACCTTCAAGCACAACTGTATTGCCAAGTCCATCTTATAAAGCCTTTTGACATTTATTTTACGACCGTCTTTACTTAACACTCAATTTTAATTAGTCATTAGTTGACTGGTCACATCAGTTGTTGCAGCCCTAATATGGTTCTCTTACAACTTCTGGTGTATGTTTGATAAATACAGGCAAACAAAGCCTGAAAATAATTTCTTGTACATTAGTAGAATTAGTTCTAGAGAAATGTTACTAAATGTGCAGACTATGAGAAAGGAAAACAGAAAGGAAATAGGTTAGTTTTTTGTAGCTTTAGAATTATAACCATCCCAAACAAACAAAAAAACAAGGGGGGAAAAATCAAAAGCTCTGCTCCTGAATCCCTTTGGTTCGAGATTGTCAGGTGAGGAACATGAAACATGACAAATCAGAGCACAGACAGAAAAAGCCGATATAAGCGATGGGCAGTGAACACACAAAACAGGTGAGCGGATGTCCTTACATGGGTCGTGGTGCCCGGGGGCAGAGTTTAAGAGCATCATGGCAGTGGCAGCGTCAATGTCAGACTCTGGAAGAGGAGAGAACATGCACCATGGTCAGTCAACGAGGGGCCGCCCAAACTACCCTCAAAACTGAACCTTCTCCCAGAGTTTCAGATCGAGCTCAAGAGGATACAGGCAGGCTTTTATAGCTGTTGGTAGAAATTCAGTTTTTGTTGCTTTATGTGTACGTGGCAAAACTATTTAATTACTATCAATAAGAGCAAGTGCACAGAAGATTTTATTTCACGCATTGGAATTGTGACATTGTTATTCAATACATACATTACAGGTTGTCCAAAGTATTGAATATCAATATCAATTCTAAAACTAGTGTTGAAACTAGACAAACTAGAAGTTGATGTTTGAGCATTTTTTAAACACACTTGAACTATATCAGAATAACGTGTATAAAACATTGTGCTCTCACAAAAGGTACAATTGGTATTTTTTGAGTTATATACTCAGTAAAAAAAATCGCTGTGGTGTTGAGTATTTAATATCAAGATAGCATGTACTACCTTATATTTTTTATATTTAGTGTTCTACTCCTAAGTACAGTTATGAAAACAAGTTTTGCCAATGGGACAGCAGAAAAATATATTCTTTTTCAAGGGCAGCAGCAATTTACTTCTCATTCCAAGGAAAAGATTGCTTGCCTCTAAAAATTGAGAGAGTTGTTCAAAGCCCATTCGTAGATCTTGTTTAAAGGCTGACAAAATTGACTAAAACCAAGATAAAAGTAACAGAATTCAAAAGAAATTTGACTTACTTTTTGCCAGTTTAGGCAAATTTATATCATTAATAATTGTTGTGTGTGTACTCGTGTGAATTATGTTGCCATACATTTTTTCATTTAAAAAAATAATAATATAATGCATATATATTTATACCTATTCTTCCAAAATAATATTGCCAAGAGTGCATCTGCTGCCTTCCAAGCTGACAAAGTGTCTTGGAGACTGGTATAGCTTCACTTCTGGGGCTCTAAATTATTAATGATTACAGTGAGACTGAGTGCTCCGGCAAAAACCTCTGCCTGTCGTCAAGGTTACAAATCTGAGGGGCAGAGGCTGAGGAGGCTGCTCTCTCTCCCCCAGTGATGGTCTACTACATGAGGCATCGATGACTTGAAATAAAGCAACATACCAATCAAAAAACCAAGGCCACAAAGATGCTGAATGTACTGTGGTTGAATTATGACCAGGCAACACAAAGCAAAAGAAAAATACAACATCCAGATTGTGGAAAGGCAAAAATGGTCTATTCTCACCTTTAAATGAGCAGCTTTGTAGAAGGAGATGACGAGGTGGCGAGGAGGCACTGAGAGAAAAAAGGGAAAAAGGATTTTGAGTTAAATTGAGGTCTGCGGTTGCTGTGTATAGCGGTTTTCTTTCATGGGTTGCTACGGTGAATCATCTGCTTTCATTTATCCCCATCCTCAGCATCTTTCGCTCACACCAACTAACTTCATGTCCTTATTCGTCTGGTAACCTGGTAACAACATCAGCATCCTACCTTCTAATGAAATATACATGCACTCTCCTCTATACAAGACAAAACTCTGATCTGATTGCCTTCACTCTAGTTTTCAAAATTAAACATTGTGATGTACACATTATTAGGAACGAAGAGATTATGCAGTTTAATTCCCAAAGAACATTTTCTGAAAATGACAATTTTCTACAAAAAAACTCATTATCTGTGAGTAAAATGTTTATTTAAAAGTCATGTATCATTCAAATAACTACTGCTTTGCGTGACTAAAAAGTTCAAACATAGGACATGAGACATTACACAAGCCAACATTGACATTAATACAACTGTTGGGGTTCAACCCGAATATGGGCTGATAGTGGAATTAATCTTTTAGTTAGGCTCTAACTAAAAGGACTGTGGTAATGATCCAGGACACTCAACATTCCACAACATTTATGGACATTTATCAACACTTATGGACATTGGTCAACTCCCTGTATGGACAAATGTGTGTTCTCTTTTCCTTATGTTTCAACTGTTTGATTCTCTGATCTGTGTTGGTGAACTCAACGGTTTTGTAAAGTCCTCCGAGATAACGACTGTTGTGATTTAGGGCTATACAAGAATAAATAGAATTGAATTGAATCTATTACCAATCCAGCTAATTTTGTAGGTTCAATGCCATTATCCAGTACCAGTTTTGGATTATGAATTGGCATCAAATTGCATTCATTTCACACATTTTTTCACTTAAGTCAATTTATGCCCTTTCCTCTGAATCTAAATTACTACACATTCTATACCAGTGATTGTAAATAGACAGTGGCTTCAGCTAAAACACTCCCATAAGCACAAAACACATAAACAGCAGTCATTCCCTTAAAAGGTTCACATACGTCTGGAGTCCAAAAGCATAAATTTGTTTTGACAAGCATCTTCCTCGCAGCCTCTCTAAGAAACTTGACACTAATTCAGAGTAGCACATGACTCTCTTCCTCATAAAATGGTCAATGTCTAACTGAGAGCACTTGTTTGATAGACAATAGACTTTTTTCAGGGCTTTTAGCGTTCATATTATGTTCAGCGGCTTTACTTTTTAATATTAATAATAGATCTGATTTATATAGCGCTTTTTGGAACACTCAAAGTTGCAACCACTGACATTATTCATTCACTCCAAACATCTGTAGCCACAGCTGCCCTGAGGGAGGCCGACTGTAATAAGGCTGCCCATCTGGCTCTCCAACCACCACCAATCACGACTCACACCAGGCAAGTATGAGTTGTGAATGGTGGATTCTGTTTACAGCTGTCCCACTATTGCAATTCACATGCAGGTATAATTATTAAGACAACGTGTCACTTGCCAAACAGAGGTTCACACTCGTTGGTCTAGTTTATTTTAACTGGACCATCTCTGGGCAACTTGGCACAATGAGTGCTTCACAAATCTCTTTCAAAATATGTAAAGACTTATAGTGGACACGTGATTTTACATTCACAAATAAAAGCATTTTCTTGCCAGAACCAGAATAGGTCTAGTAAAAGGGACCCAGACCAAAAAGTGTGAAGTTGCCTGAAAAGACAGTATCTGGAGCTTTACCTGGGTGGGGAGGCAGGAGGTGTGCAGAAGGCATGTGCGGCAGGGAAGTGCTGCTTTTTCAGGGCTTGGATCAGGTTCGGACGATACTCGGGATCAACGCACCACAACGAGCCTTTCCCATTGGCCTGGAGGCAAACACATACAGGCTTTCAGTTTTAACAAGATACAACGTCATTTGGCAATTTCTCATAATAAAAACATTTTTAACTATTGTTCAGCTTTCGGTAGGTTAGTGTCAGTCTATCAGTAACTATGGCCAACATCAGGGACCCATAATAAATGCATTATAACACATGTGAAAGGTGCATTTATAAACTGTCTATGTCTGCTTTTTGCTTGAATCATACAAATGTTATTATTTTAACTGGATATGTATAGTTTGTCTATTTACCTTGGAAACAAGCGTGTGACTTCATAGGCTAATTTAAAAGTTATTGGTAGAAAGGCACTGTTAAAAAACCTATTAGTTTTAAACCAAACTGAATGACTTTTTAAGCAAAGCAATGACATAACTATCACAAGAAGCAGGCATCAGACCCCAGTTGAGGAATGCACCTATAAAACATTATATATTTTGAGCCAGTGAAGTGTTTAAAAACCCACACATACATGAATATTATATACTTCTTAGACCTTAATTTTTAACATTGATTCATTATCACACATTCTACATTTCCAAGCAGAACTTTTAATATAGTAACATTTTCCTCCGTGCCAAATAAAGTCTTAATCGGCTTCATTGCACCAGAGAAGTGACGGAAAAAAATATGTGATTGTTGAATTCCTCTTGAAAGAAACAAAGAGAGGAAAGTGACGCCTCAGCCTTCACAGCACACACTTATTTGTCAGTGTAATGTGCGGGAGTGTGTTAACTGTCATTTTGTCTGATGGTGGAAGAACGCTTGTGCCCAGTGAGGGACGCGAGAGCGCGGCGGGAGGAGGAGAGAAGTAACCTTGACTCACATTACCCACAAGCACCCGGTGCAGGAAAGAGGAAACGTCACCATGGCAACGCAAACCACCAGCCAGTGTCATGTGAACGTGTTTTCTCAGCTCGTGTCAGGCCCATGCTGTGCACCTGCATGCTGCCGCCCAAACAGAGGCGGTGGACCAGGTCTGGGAGGAGGCACGGGTCCAAACTCACTACAGTACAATATGGACGCCATCAGGTCACCACGGGGGCAAGGATGACTCATACACCACTCACATGTGTCACTCCAGTTTTAGGAAGAAGCTTAGGTATCAACTCATTAAAATATTACCAGTGTTTTTTTTACTAAAGTAATTTTTTTAAAGTTTGTATTATATTGTTTTCATAATGAGTTGCGTGAAAGCCGACTGTAGATTGATTCTCAAAAACACCATGTTCACCATGACAACGACAACCCAGCAAGGAATACAAGCATCTGATTTAGCAATTTTAGAAGTTTCCACATCAAGCAATAGTATACATTTATAAAGTATTCATCATACATAACAACATCTAAAAGATTACCCATTGAATCTATGAACTAGGGGGCAAGCTAGTAATCAATAGAAAACTCAATAACTAGTTTGTTTGTTAATCAAGTAAGCTTTTGATTTTGCATTTGGTGCCTTTGGTTGAATCAATGTACTTATATTCAGCTAGCCTGTTTTAGACCTGGCTGTGCTCAACATAACAAATATGATCTTTGGTGGCACTTCAAAGATTGCTAGTCTTGTAATAGCGGGCTGCGGTGCTCCATGTCTCTGTGCCAACCTCAGGCATCAGCCCCTTCCAAGCAGCTCCCTGAGTACTTATAAACTAACAAATAATATGCTGAATACAATAAATATTATCAATCACATTACTTCACTGATTACAAACATTATAATGACATAGACTATTTGACCAAAGAAACATTTATTTCTAATCACTTTAAAGTATCTCAGTAGAAAATGCCTCTGTGTCATTTGACTGGAAAACATATACAGAATGAATTCAAATGTGATTGCATTATTTGTATAAGATTACATTTTTAATGAAAGAACACCTACAACTCACTGATTTTAGGACAGTGGCAGTTGAATGTTGTTTCTTTCCTTGTTGTGTCTAAAGGTCTTGGGTGATGGCTGCTTCTGTGTCAGCTCTAGAGTTACAGTGGCCAGTGCTGTGGGAGATAAAGTCCTATCAGAGTGCTGCGTGTGCACTTCCTCTGAAGAAGAGTGTGACCTTGCCTGGATGCCCCGTGTTATCGGCGCACAGTCAGAGGTTTAGACACCGTCACATGAGCCCACTGCGGCCCTACAATGCGGATCTCTGTTCCCACTTAAATCCACAAAGCATATTTTGGTCCAATGGCATTTTCACAATCGGTGTGATCCGGATGGAGCTAAAGAACGGGACAGTGTTTCTATTATGGATGTCTATTGTTGGGATTCAGGAGTCATGTAAAGTTTACTCCATGTAATGTTCTGGTCATTGTCAGAGGGTAGAAGATAAAAGCAAAAAGACAAAACAAGTAGAGGACACTCCTTCAGGATAAGTACCAGGTTCAGGTTTGTGGACATGCAAGTCCACTCACCACACACAGCGGATTGTAATTTATAGTGAAATCAAAACTACAAAAATTAAACCAAACTTTGGCTTTAATGTTTTGTATTGTTATTATATTAAACTGTAGTTTTAGGGCTGAGACTAATGAGGATTTTGATTAATATAGAAATTATTCTTTCAGTTTATCTACATTTTTTTAACCAGATGAAGCTTAAGAGCTTAAGCTTAAGCTCTATAAGCTATGTTTTAGCAATGAATTACTGAAAAAACTTGAGACATTGTGATAAATCATATCTTTGTTCCATCCTCACGTCTCAATATAACAGCAGATTATCATGTAGAGCAGGGGGGCCCAAACTTTGAAAGGGGGCCACTTTAGTGCACCAGAATTGTGCAGGGGCCTTTTAAGATGAAGTATGACATTGGAGCTTAAATTGCATGTTAAGTTGCGTGTTAAGTTGAGTGTAGCGCCATAGACAGAAGGCTTTTTGTGACAAAATCAAAGACAAGTGTCAGTATATAAAATTATTAAATTACTGGATACCAGAGGTTCTGAGCTTTACAAGGCATAACATGTCCATATTGGAGGAGCTGAAGTTGGCTGGATGACACTGTGAACTTATGTTTATGATCTCAAAGATTATTTTGAGTTGACAGCGCAATTGGACTTAGTTTGAACATGTATGCTGTAGAGTATACTGTATGTTTACGGTGCAGTGAACAGTGAAGGGATGTAAGTGAAGATTTGCAGTGTTGCATCTTTCAGTTTGAGTGCATCTTTATTTAGTGCAATTTAAAACTGGTTCATTCCTAGCCTAATTGAGTCATGGTTCTGTTCTTAACTAGTATCGTCCAAGATTAGTCCTGTGCTCTCTGTGTAAAGTTGGAAACCTTTTGAAACATGTCAAAGGTAAATGCACACAACTTGTACCCACCTTTCCTAAACTCCTATCCACTTTGCGGAAGCATTTATTCAGAGACAGGTTGTGACGCACAGAGTTCTTCCAGCCAGTTGGCGCGTTGGAAAAGTACGGGAAGTGCTCTAGGATCCAGCCGTAGATGTCTTTCACCGGGAGGGACTTTCGAGGCGACTGCTCGATGGCCATGTAGATTAGGAGCGAAAAAGAAAATGGCGGCTTTGATTTGACTGCATGCCCCATTCGGTCGTGTGGAGGGGTGCCCGAGGGTCCCTGGTCTCCGTAGTCTCCTTCTATGTCGAGCAGGGGGCTGGCACTGGGCTGAGCTTCTGGACCACCCAGCGTGAAGTTCTGAAGCAGGTTTTCGTGAAGCCAGTTGAGGTTCGTGAGCTCCTCGTCGCCCTCGGCTCGGTCCACGCTTGTTGCTAGAGGACTCGATGCACACTCGGCCTCCGGCAAAGTCCCCATCCCACATCCTCCTCTAAGTCCTGTCCGCTCCTCTGGCATAGCCGGGATCTCGGATTTTTTATCTGGTGACATCCCAATGATTGGACCCATTAAACCAAAGAGGTCTGAAAGAAAAAACGAAAGGACAATGATTTATCATTAAAAAACAGCAATGTAAAAGTTGTAAACATTTTTTAACAATATATTAGTGGTTCTCAACTGGTGGGTTGGGACCAGAGCAACAGCTTTAAAAGTTTCTACAACCCCTGAAAACAATAATCATGAAATCAAGAAGTAAAAGTTTTTTATACTTAAAATAAGATAAATTAACATTCTTAAACTTGATTTTTTTATTATCATTATTATATTTTGTTTTATTATTTTGTATACTATTATCACTTTATACTAATTATATTATATAAATATATATATTTATTATTATTTTATTTTTTATAATAAAGCAGGATATTTAGCTAGCTGTAGTCCCAGAATAAATTATTGATAGGCTTGAAAACTGTTAGAAATAAAAAAGACCAGTTGAATATGCCTGAATATTGTATAACCTACAATATTATATTGTAATAACGAGCTCCTTCCATGAAATCAATTATGCAGCAGTAACCCCCATTACACTGCCTGCATTCACCATATTGGAATGATGCGCTCTTCTAAGTGTTGACCTTGTTTTTTAGGTCTCCCCCTGGGCCCGCCCCCTGCAGCAGTGTCTGTCTGCTTCTGTTGCACTCGGAGCCCCTCTCTCTGCTCAGTGCTTGTAATGGCAAGAGGCTCTCACTCACTGCTCTTCACTCAAGCTAAGGACGTCTCCAGCTACTGCCCTGACTTAAGACTGCACTCCTTGACGCCCACCTCATTTGAGACCGGACTCAGCTGCTCTTGTTAAGCGAGCATGAAATGGTTATCAGCGTTTAGTGGATGGCTCTTATAGGCTGATCTGCATTCAGACAGGATCAGGTCTCAATTTGTCACAAGACAGATTAAGTAGTAGTGAAGTAGGGAGGCAGCGTGAGAGTTGTCAGTCATTTAGAAGCACTTGAAATGCAACATCCGTCAGGTGTCAGTGACTAATCCCACCCAAGAGTTCTTAATCTGGTTTATGACACTTCGATAAAAAGGTCAGATGTATGCAGTACTTGTACCGGTACCAATTTCAGATACACTTCATGAAGTTGCATCCTTTCATCTTATGAACAACACACTTCTAAACGTGTGTGTGCAATGTCGAGGTGAGCCATAGGCCATCCGTGATATTTGAATTTCTTTGCCATGATGTATTAATGAATTGCTATTTTAATATTCCAATGTACAGTACCTAGAGGAAGTACACATTCTTACTGTGAGAGGACAGTCTTTTACAGTTAATTTCATACTTAAACAATCACCATTGAGAAAAGCAAATGGCCACCATTCACTTAAATGGAAGTTGTATGAAGTATGCCTTCTACAAACTACAAAAACGTACTTGAAATGTCTCGCCTCTTAAGAGAGCCGCTCAAGCTCAGACAGTCAGAAAGATATCTGAAAGGAAACCAACCTTGAACAAAATTAGGCTAAAATGCATGGTTTAATGTAGCAAATGTAGTTTAGATAATTTAGATAATGTAAGGGTGGGAATTTTTGTGAGGTTTAATAATTTGACCACAACAAAGCCAAAGTGATGCCACTTGAGGACATCATCTTAGAGAATTCTACAATAATCAACTCAAATATCCGACAACTGATTCATCAATTAACTTCCTATGGGTCATATTAAGAGTAGCAACAAAGCCTGGGGTATTTTCTTTTAATTGATCAAGGACTAGACAAACAAATGTTAGATATGTGTTATGAAGTTTAAAGTCAAGCTAAATTCAGTTCACGAAAATATGCAAAATGTGTGAAACTTGTGAATGAGTGATGTCATGGTTTGGTTTGAAAGGGCCGGAAGCACAAAAACGCCTCTTCTTTAGCTTTCCTCACAACATGTTTAAAGTCCCAGCCATCACCATGACAACCGTGCTGTCACTTCAATTCGGAGCAAAAATCCCAGGAACACGAGTCAATAAGCAAATTATATAAAATTATCTACAATGGCTCTTTCTGCACTTCTCTGACAGGACCCCTGCTACAAGAGACTAGCCTGGTCTGAGGTGGTCTTTTGATGTTCTAAGTCTTTGCTTCAGGGCAACAACTAAAATACCAGCGTGCCAACTGAATAGGCATACATTTTCACTGGATGATAAGATAAGAAGTGGGTCATACTCGAGGGTGTTTGCACAATGGGTGAGGACAAGAGAGGGAGGGCTCTTAAATCTGTTTGTCAAAGCCAGTCACCACAGCTAAAAGAAAGAGGCTGTCTTTATATTGACCTAAGTGATTACAAGTCTCTATAGAAAAAGTCAAATGGGTTGTCAATATTCCGTAGGCTGTATGTGTTACTATAGTTCCAACAAGCAGCAAATATTAATGGCAATAATATGTGATGGAGAGATTTGACAGAGGAAACATGTGTGAAGTAGGAAATAAAACGTCACAGAAAGAAGAGTCAGGTATAAGCAAAGCAATCTTTTGCCTTGGGTGAATCACAGCTCTGAGTACGGAGAAAATCATATATAACCAGACATATCTGCCTATTTAGGTTAAAGAAACTACAGTAAAAATGTAAAGACATTGAATTATAATAGGTTTTTAAAGTCAAATGTGCAGGGGTAAAAGCAGTGATTCCCAAAATACGGGTTGTAGAACAATAGATGAGAGGGGGTCTTTCCAGACTATTTTCAAATTCCTGCAACAACAATTCAAACTACATTACACTGTATACATTGTAATGTCATGCCAATTTCAGGGGACCCAGCTTGAAAACTTTAAGATATGAAGTATATAATTGAATAAAATATAGCTTTCATGAATTATTGAAATCTTTCTTGATAATGAAAATGCATAAAATCAGGGTTCCCCAAATGTGTATACTACAGTTAAATACATGTCTGGATTGGATATTATAATCATTATACTATTTTGCATTAAAAAGATCATATCCGCGTTGTCAAAACCATTTGATGGGAGTGGTCTTGAAGTTTACCAGGTCCTTGTGTGAATGCCCGGGGCCTGTTTGGTTTGAAGGTGTGTCTATAACTGAAGCCAGAGGCAGCTGTAAACACATGACTAGCCTTTCTTATTTTGAATAGCTGCTTGTAAACTCTGGCTGTTTTGGGATCCGCACATGGTTCTTTGGCCTGGGCAACAGACGTGTGGGCCAACTGATTAACCCCTTTGCCTCAGTCAGTCTCCATAGACCTGAGCGAGCCCTCGGGTGCTGAGAGTGCTTTGCCTCATAGACGCGCTTTTCTGTTCGGCCTGTACCAGGCAAAGTTCAATCAAACAAAGCTGTGATGAACTACGCCATAAAGCCAGAAGGGTCTATCTGCCACGATACACCGGAAATTATCATCAGAGTATTTAGTAAAGAGAGATGCCAGTGCATGGAGAGGGTAAAGAAGACAGTGAGTTAATGAGACAGACCCAACTCGGCCTGAAACACACAGAAGCTGCAGGAACACTGACCTGGAGTGGCTCATCTGCAAGTTAAAGCAGTCTCATCATATTCATGTGCTAACAGCAGGTGCCAAATCATATTTATTCCCCTATTCAAACTGCTCTATTTATCTTGTTAAGCACTTAGTCTTTTGAAAAAACCCACAAAGACATATGGAAATCGATGCGAGTGGAGACACATGCTGTTGATACATCAAAAATGTTGAGGGGATGTAAAAGAGACAAGTGTGCCATTAAAATCAAGAGCTGTATTTTTGTTATATCTCTCTCTAGATCGGACTCCGTTTCCACGGCAGCCAGTGTTGTAAGGGAAGCAATTGTGCTCATGTCTGTGCATGAAGAGAGCGCTAATGTGGGGAGATCAATACATGTGGAAAGTGCTGAGGCCAGCAGTCTACGCCACTGTTCCCCACAAACCTGTCTGACAAAGGCCACAGACAACCTGGATGTAATATGGTGTTACCAGCCACAAAAGCAATAGGGAAAATAAACTCACCAAACCTGTTGTGTGGTGGTTGTCAAGCCCTGATAAGTTTTACGTAGATAATGACGATGTAAAAAGTTAAGACGTAACAAAGATTCTAATTTACCACACACCCAGTTTGCCAGAAATATCCTTGCTGACACAAACCAGTTACACCTCTGTAATTGATACACTAAGGTGTGTTGCAAGTCACAGGCTGCAATTTGAAACCATAACTGATATTTACACAGACTTTAATGTTATGTGAATGGACAAAAGATGAATGGCTGGAGAGTATGAAGAGAATATGTTAATTATCTTGAAGGCAAAATAAAAACATTCAAGAGAACCGCTTTGGAAAATGGGGATAAAAGCTTTCTAGTTGCTCCAGACTCGGGTTGTACAAAGAAGTGTTTGTTTTTTCCTCTAGTCCTGTCTCTAATAGCGCTCAGTATTCACCTCACAGTTGCTTATGTGGATCAGGAGGGAAGGAAACACCTCCTGCCTGTTGAGGAAGTTCATTTTCTGAAACAAATTCAGCGTTTCACACAGAGACAGTTTGGGCCCACACTGCTCTCAACATTGCACTCCACCGGGGGTAGGCCAAAAGGTAGCAGTTACAGGGACAGTCATATTTACTTTGGCTTCCATGAAAGCGGTAAACAATGTCAACAAACAACAAAATCATTGAATGTTTTCTATGGTGGTAATGGTGGTTTGGCAAATCATAGACTGGGAGAACAAGCAAACAGGACAATAGTTACTGATTTAAACACTTGTTAAATAGAGACTTAGGGCTTCCATAGAACAGCACCGCTCTAGACCAGCAGACAGAAACCTTATCTCTCCAGTCATGTGCCTGTTTGCAGTGTACTAATACTCAGTCAGCCCCAATCAGCTCACGCCACAACACTACATTCTTGTAAACATACTTCAACTACAGCTGAGCAAGGCAACTTATTTACTTTTTTGCCACTTGTTTTAATGTTTTCATAAGAGTGTGCTACTGTGAAGTAATTTAAATTGTGGATATAGACAGTTTGAT